ATATGATGTCCAATCAAATTGCAGGCTACGATCACGTGAACAATCGTGCGCACGTGCTCTTTCATTGCCGCGCATGCGCATAGTAAAGTCATGGAGTTGCACAGTACTATTGAAGTACTATAACTCGATCCAAACTAGTAGACAAAACGAAATGCATCAGAGCCCCGGGTAAAAACAAATTCCCGGGGATTTAATTGGCAATTTCGCGACGATAATTTTTCACGATTTTAACACCCTCGCGAAAAGCGCGAAAGTTAATCGCACGCGAATAATACCGGGCGTACAGTAATAGTGCAGAACTGAGTAGATGAATTAAAATGTGTGAAACAGTTGTAAAGATACAATAGAAAATATAAAACACCTGACAGAAATGTGCCAAAATACAGTGTGAATACATAAAGATAATTTCACAAATTACAATTTGGTAAAATGAATTAACAAAAACAGGTGTACAGGTGAAAAATAAAAAAAAGTACAAAAATACCTTAGATGAGTCCATACAGGTTTCACACACAAAGAGATCTGCACTGTGTCACCCCCACATTGACCAGGACTACTGGCAAACTCCCATGCCATAGTAGACTCCAATGGAAGTATGTCTTCTGGATGAACAATAGCCCTATAATACAAAATATGTATAAACATAACATTTTAAGCAAAGGTGAGGACAATAGATTTTCACACAATGTCATCTCACTTTCACATTGCAATGGGCATAAGCTTTTCAAGATAACAGACATGAGCATTTATTTTGGGGTGAACTATCAATAGTTTAGGTCAGAAAATATCTTCAGAGTTAAGCAGAGAAACACAATCCATGTAGTGAATGGGACGGGATATCAATATCTCTTGAAATGACACATTTCAGAAAAATGATAAGATTATGATGCATGGAGTGCTTGTGCACTTGAAATATAAAAATTTAGCCTATGTGATCTCAAAAACAGCATAGCTTGACCATTTTTCCAGTGTATGCCTAACGCCAGTCAGATTTTTCCGTGTACTCCTGTCAAATTTTCCTGGTAGATCCCCCCCCCCCCCGGCCCTCAAGTGATCAGATGATTTGGGGATGATTTCTGTTTTTCACCTAGCTTTCAAGGGGTGATTTTATTTTTGGCCTGATCTTTTACATTTTTGCAAAATAATTATTTTTCATCACAAATGATCTGGGAAATTTTCTTAACTTCAATTTGAGAGTACGCCTCTGCGTACTTGGCTTACATGTGGCTACGCCATTAGAGTACATGTACATATACTTTCAGAAATTTTAGTTATGTTCATATCAATCTTAGACATCTACAGTCTGTTAAACTGCTTCGAAGGCAAGCAGCTGAACCTGAAAGATAAGAAATCTATTGTGCCATAATACAGTATATAGAAAAATACATTCATATTGCACATGATCGACATTTGTATATTTTAGATTATTTAGTGTTTAGTGCAATAAGCCTGTGCCCTCTTGCAATTTGGATCTCTTTGCGAGATCTATGTTATTTTTCAGAATTAACATGGCAGAGAAGCATCAAAATATAAGAGGTTTCATACTTTATAAACCAATTCACAAGCAATCCAAGATATACAAATGTCATTCATGTGCAATATGAATCTATTTTTCTCTATATTATTGCACAATGTTTAGATTTCTTATTTTTCAGGTTCAACTGCTTGGCTTTGAAGGGCTTAAAAAAAACTCCTACCTCATACCCACCTACCCACCTGCGTGTGACATGACACAGTCATTGAAGGGTTCAATTTTAAAAATTTTAAATCACAAAATAGCTTTAATCTGTTAATTATTATCATTTCTACAATTCCGGGTTTATTTTATGACTAGACGGGTGACAGATCCATAAATAAAGGCATATACATTGTGCATTGTAATGTGTTTTGACCCTAGGGCGACCCAGGGGAATAACTAAATAATGACCGCGAACATAGGTCCAACAAGCCAGATAAAGAAATTGAAAGAAAGTGTGCTAAATTTGATGCCCCCAGTGGGAATCGAACCCAGCTGGGCTGTAGTAGCAACTTGCTATCAAGGGCCGTTACAAATGCATCTATAATTCATCATAAACTAAGATATTTAAAATTGAACCCTTCAAAGACTGTATCATGTCCAACGAAAAATTTGAGGTGTTCAAAATTTGGCAGGATGTAATAAAATTTAAACCAAGAAAGATCAAAATTTGGATCAAGGTGTTCAGATATGGACCAAGGTGTCCACATTTTGAGGGGAGGTGTTCAACATTTCCAAGTCACTCATGTTAGGTGTTCCCAAGTTGACAGGCCTGCGAAAGCATCCCCTCCTAATTGTATATATCGACCCATTAGATAGAACAAGAAAAGAGCTTTAAAATGTTTTTTAATTGAAGCTTGTAGGACAATTTTGATGGAAGTTGAATCAATTTTTGTCGAAATAAATTATGGCTCACTACAAGTTAATGCCTGTACGATTCCATACTGCAAAAGAAGCACTATCCCCCCCTCAAAAGAAAAAAATAGGTCTTGCCGGGATTCGAACTCGGAACGGAGTGTGTTCGAATCGTGCTCGCTAACCACTAGACTACCAGTGATGAAGTCATTTACGGAATTAAAAGTAGTGAATTTATTTATGAAATTGTCGGCTCTCTAGCAAAAACACGTAGCAGCCACTTGCGTACCGACAATTGTCGGTTCTCTATCTGACACTGCTAGGTGATGATAGAGTGCCGACAAATGTCGGTACCCCAGCAAATACCCCTGGACAGTCTCCAGTACCGACAATTGTCGGTCCTGGAGCCACTCCGAATAAAAAATGTGAATAAAAAATGGAAAGCAGATGATAGATGATAGAAATTAGAAATTATCTCAATCTAATATGTCAATTTCAGCATCGTTTTGTTTGGGAAGTCTTTAAATGTAGCTTTATTATTGTTCTTTAAATATCAGATGTATGGAATAATCATTTAATTTATCACATAACAACATACATATTGTTTAAATTACCTGTAAATAGAGACAATTATCAAATTGTTTCATGATTCCAAGGACCTCTGCTGGATTACGCAAAATGCTGCATTTTGATTGGTCGATCCACGTCTTGTAAACAAACCAAAGACCTTTCACTCAAGCATCTTTGACATCAGTTTGCATCAGTAAATAGTTGACAGTTCAACAATTATTTGACATCACAGCTATTATAAGATGCAAAAGTAACACTTGCAATGTATTTTTACAATAAAACCTTCCTTGCACCATATCAAATACCTTTATTAGTGTCTGACAATTTCTTGTATTTTCTGCAAAAACTATACTGAGGTACCCATGTTTAGAAGTATCAAGTGCACTCATAGACATAATATGCAACCTATTTTATTTGATATTTCATATAACCATATCTCCATTATTTAGTTTCAAATGTTTATGGCCTAATTTGAGGTCTACTTGGGACCCCAGGACAGTTCAAACAAACCTCACTTTTAGGCCTGTTAGGAAGTCTATTAAATTGATCATGTTGCCATGGCAACCATTACTATTAGATACAATGATAGCAAATATTTAAATGTTGAAATGATACTCCTTAATCTTAGTTATTTCAAATAGTAAGCTGATCTAACCAAACATCTTCAGAGTATAGAGTAATATCAAAGGCAATGATGTATGGAAAACCTAAAAAATAACTGCAAAATGAGCTCTTCAGGTGAAGTGCCACGCCCACTTTTGGGCAACACATTAATGTCCCCTAACTTTTTTATTGGCAATGCACTGGAGTTCCTGTTTCTCAGGTGTAATACATAATCAACCAACAACAAACTGTGGAAGTTTGAAGGAAAACAAAAAAATTGATATATCACAGATTTCAAGAATCATCAGGTTCTCTGGGACAACTCTACTTAAATACTTCTGTAAGTAAAACACCTTTGAAAGCTAAATACTTCTGTAAGTAAAACACCTTTGTAAGTTAAATACTTCTGTAAGTAAAACACCTTTGTAAGCTAAACACTTCCGTAAGTAAAACACATTTGAAAGCTAAATACTTCTGTAAGTAAAACACCTTTCTAAGCTAAATACTTCTGTAAGTAAAACACCTTTGTAAGTTAAATACTTCTGTAAGTAAAACACCTTTGTAAGCTTAATACTTCTGTAAGTAAAACACCTTTGTAAGCTAAACACTTCCATAAGTAAAACACCTTTGTAAGCTAAACACTTCTGAAGTAAAACACCTTTGTAAGCTAAACACTTCTGTGAGTAAAACACCTTTGTAACCTAAACACTTCTGTAAGTAAAACACCTTTGTAAGCTAAACACTTCTGTAAGTAAAACACCTTTGTAAGCTAAACACTTCTGAAGTAAAACACCTTTGTAAGCTAAATACTTCTGTAAGTAAAACACCTTTGTGAGCTAAACACTTCCATAAGTAAAACACCTTTGTAAGCTTAACACTTCTGAAGTAAAACACCTTTGTAAGCTAAATACTTCTGTAAGTAAAACACCTTTTTAAGCTAAACACTTCCATAAGTAAAACACCTTTGTAAGCTAAACACTTCTGAAGTAAAACACCTTTGTAAGCTAAACACTTCTGTGAGTAAAACACCTTTGTAACCTAAACACTTCTGTAAGTAAAACACCTTTGTAAGCTAAACACTTCTGTAAGTAAAACACCTTTGTAAGCTAAACACTTCTGAAGTAAAACACCTTTGTAAGCTAAATACTTCTGTAAGTAAAACACCTTTGAAAGCTAAACACTTCCGTAAGTAAAACACCTTTGTAAGCTAAATACTTCTGTAAGTAAAACACCTTTGCAACCTAAACACTTCTGTAAGTAAAACACCTTTGTAACCTAAGTAAGTAAAACACCTTAATAGATACCTAAACAACTTTGTAAACTAAACATTTGTGTAAGTAAAACACATTTGTAATTTATAAATAACTCTATAAGAAAAACAACTTTATAAGCTAAACACCTCTTATTAGTGCTCATCCATTCTGCAGATTTAAAGACTAGTGAATCTTACTTCTAGGTATGATCAAGTGCGACAAATTTGGATTTTGCACTTGTGACTGTACAACACTGGACAATGACCAACATATTATTGCTATCCCAACAGATAAAACATCACAAATACAGTTGCATGACCTGGAAACTCTTGACAAAATATCAGCTTTAATACCTCGTATGAGTGGTAAAGGCTATGGAGCATGCATGGTGACAAAATTTATCAAATTGAAAAATGGAGTCGTCGCTCTTTTAGTTGGATACGAAGATGGATCTGTTGCTTTATGGGATATTAAAATGGCAGTAGAATTATCTCGAACTCATCTTCATAAAACTGATTCCGTCATGACTATGGATTATTATGGTGCTAAGAATTTTGGAATATCTGGATCAGTAGATGATAAGATATGCATATGGAGTATTACGGATGACAATGAAGTCCAGTTTAAGCGAGATATAACTTTGACAAATCCTGGACTTAATTGTTCAAAAGTGAGGTATGATGGGAAAATATTTGCAACTGGGGGCTGGGATGCCCAAATAAGGATACTTAGTAGAGCGAAATGTTCCCTTCTGGCAGTATTGAGTTTTCATGAAGGGAGCATTAATTGTCTGGATTTCTCTAAAAAGAATCTCATCGCTGCAGGGGGAAAGGATGGCATCATTAGTATTTGGAATGTTTATGCCTCCTAATTTGAGAAAAAATACCTACCATACTATTTTATTATCCTATTGAACAGAGAAAGGGGATATAGAGAGAGGCTCTGTCCGTCTGTCCAGGCAATCACTTGATGGCTCTTGAGTACTGTTGGCCCAATATCATTTATGATTTATATGTACAGCCGCCGTGACACAAAAAGTCTACCTATCTTTTGTCTGCATGATATCTGACTTGTTCTTTTATTACGCATTAGAAATAGACCCATTTGATTTAATGGCAGCCATTATTACGTGTGTTATTTTACATTTTTTGCTATAATGACTATAATGCTATAATGATTCTTTTTGAAATTTCATATTGGAATAGTTATAAGTTCATAAGAACACGTTCATGGTGGCCATTTTTGTACTTGTTATTTCATGTTTTGCTATAATTGGAAAAGCAGTTGAGTCATTTTAGATAAAAGACATTAATTAAGAAACATACAATTGATGATATGCGATCACCGGATGGATTCTATCTTGTAGTGAATAGTGATGTCACAGTTAGGCCACACTGCTATAACTTTTTGATTTTGAGAGATTATTTTCTGTATTTTGTATTTTATTGAATTATTTTTCACGAAAGCATTCGATTTGACTAGATCAACATTCATGCTAAGCACATACCAAGTCTAAGATCGTATTGACATGATTTAGATAGCAGTAATGTGCCCCCGATTTTGAAAAAACTGGAGGCGCTTATAGGCATCAATGTTTATTATGAATTTCACCCTAACTTCGCACATATATAGATACAGGGTGTTCCAAAAGTAACAGGACTGGTGCTGGCATTTTGTTAAATATGCACCAAGCGTCTTCAAAGTATTACATAATGTTCTTTCATGTATCGTCACTAAGACTGCAAAGTTTCAACAAAATATATGAAATTGAATAAATATTATTATCATTATGAAATTATACTTGAATCTGAGTTGTATAGCAACATTTTTCAACAAAGCAACTAATATAATAAACAAGAAATGTTGTATTATAGGTGAATTAGATACGTTCTCAGGGCTTGCATTAATGGCGTCCCGTACATGTTAAGAACTCAAAAATAATTTGGAGGACGCAAAAATTGAAAATATTTCCGTTTTTTTGGACGCAAAACTTTTTTAGGTCAATACTACAATGTGTTTACAACGATACCTAACAAAAAAAAATAATTATGATCTCTCACCTTTATTTGAATTGTAAATAAGGCTCAACATGTTGAATATTTACAAATAATCATGATTCTCTCGAATTTTTTCGACTTAGTTTATTTTTAGATTTGAAACCATGACACGCCACAGTTTTTCCTATTTAGAAACAAATATTAGGTTATTCATGAAATAAAATGTATTCATTGTCGAATGAACGAACATGCATTTATTCAGTCCGTACTTAACGTTTACTTCCGTTTTAAATTCGCGGCAAGAAATCAAAAACTGAAAATATGACAAGTAAGGTTAGAACATACATTCCGGAATGGGAAACAGAGTTTGATTGGTTACAGCCAGTTAGGAAAGAAAACTCCAATATTATTATTATTGTTTTATTTTCAAAGGACACATTTTTTTTAAAAAATTGCGTCCTTGGGACTCACAAATTTTCTAACCTAATGCAAGCGCTGCGTTCTTCAGTAATACAAAAACGTTAGATATCACATTTCCAGGAAAAAAAGTTGCCCTGGGTATTGGGATGTCATGTTACTATAGTTACCATAACTCTAACCGCATTTCATCATTTTTTCTGAAACTTTACAACTTTAGTTGCAATACATCAAAGTACAATTTGTGAAAATTTGAAGACACTCAGTACAAAATTGACAAAATGCCAGCACCAGTCCTGTTACTTTTGGAACACCCTTTATACTCATGATCTAGTCAAATCGGCATACCTGGTAAATGTTCGACCCATGGTTTTCATAAAAAGAAACAATAATATTTTCAGCTCAAAACTGCCACGTGTCCCCCATTTCGTGATTCCATCATGTCTAATATCATTTCTATATGACGTCATACCAATAAGACGAAATACATGACAACAGTATCCATAAACAAAATTCCTGAATTCTGATCGCAAAAGGTCAATAGGGTGCTTCTTATCACAATTACATAGTTACTATTTGCCATGTTTTTATGTTTGATGGGATAATGAAGCTTAATATGCCTATTTGGCATTGTATATATGATAAAGAAAAATCAAAGAATACATTAAACAATAGTTCCACATTCTTGCACTATACTCTAGAATTGTTCTTAATCAACTGATCAATCCTCTCATTTCCTGAATAAAGTGCTTTACTCAATAGAATCACATACTTCATTAGCAAGCATTGTAGCATAGCACGTTGGTGCTATTTTTAATTTTGATCATGAAAGATAATAATGAAATGATGGTTTATTCAATATAATGGATGCAAAACATTATGAACAAGTATGGAATATTACATTCAACTTTGATGTGGGTAAATAATGCAAAAATATTAGAAAAAAGGCCTATGAGGGTTTTCAAGGGCTGTAAATATAGATATTGATTACCCAATGTCAGGGTGGAGTACATGGAGATGAAGCTCTCTTTTAAGTAACCAAAATCAAACTGTTGGAAAGGTTGGATATTAATAGAAAATAATGGTAAGTTTAATTTACATATATTTACAGTAAATGAAATTCAATTTGCATGTATAATTTACAAAATAAATTAAAAACCTGAAAAAATGAATGGACGTGTCATACTTGAAAAATAAACTTTTCTAATGCTGTATACACTTTTGCTTGGATCATTTTTATTAACCACTGTTCAAGTTGATCAGATGTCACAAAAATAAGTTCCTGTTCTTTCGGCTTTACAAAAATTACATAACATTTTTTTCTTTTTATTTATCCATAATTTTTATTTCATTTCCACAATATTTATACAGTCACCTTTCCTTCTTTTTAGTATGGCAAAATCCACACTGTTTTACGCCAGCTAGTCTTGGACCAATATGGAAAAGAGATATGGGAAGAAGTCAGGTAAAAGTGTTTTTATTTGTAACAATTGTGAATTTGACACAGATGCCTTTGTCACTGATTAGAATAGTATAATCTTTTCAGTGATTGGAATCCATTTCTTTACTCATATACAGGGTGGGCCAAAAATACAGACACAAACAAATATGAAATTATTCTTGGAATTAACCATTCAAGAATTGAACAAACCAGACTCTTTTTTGTATTTCTTTCATGTATGCTTGAAACTATTTTAATTTTGATGTGTATTGTGGTTTTTTGACCCACTTTTAAGTTATTGTATGAAATTGTGCGGAGGGTTTAATCACTAACAATAGTATTCCCCAGGCTTGGGAATGTGACCAAATGATAATTTAGATATAAGAAATCTATCATTGTAATTATCATCCAATATATAATGTCATAATTGTGATCTAATTATGAAGATTCTGTACAGTAGTTCAAGAAGGCTAAAAAGGCCATTCACTCAGTTTTTTTGTTGCATTTCATACTATGCAACTTATCTCACATATAAATATCAATGTGTTGATTGTTTGCTAAATATTTTATCTCATACGATATTCCTACAATATAATGAGCATTACATTTATTGTCAATAGTAAGCTATTATTGCAACGATCCCTTGGACACTATATACATGCATAATAATATATATGTAAAACACATGAATTGGGTTGACCCAAATACATCATATCAAAAACTGCTATGTAAAATATACATGGAAAACTATACAAATCTCACTTTGTCAAAACAACAGAGTCGAGACATACATGAGAATGCACAAGAAAGAAAACTGTTTAATATGACAGTCTGGGTAAAAAGCATCTTTCTCTATTTTTATTTTACCTCTTTCAAGGAGATGTTTTTGCAGAATACATTTTGTACTAGTTAATCACCAACCACCAATTTACCACAATACCCATGATAAATGCAATATATTTTCTTTAGCTCTGCATATTCTATTTCTTCAATTAGCCATCCTTCTGATGGAGTGAGATTGAAAAAATTGCCAGCTATACATTGAGGTAGTTTTAGAAAAATACCAAAAGAACCTCGCAATTTACATCCTCTAATAGCCTAATTCTTCTGATAGACCTTGAACTAATTGCCTATTATTTTTCTTCATTTCATAAAAAGGCCTTTAAGTAGATTGGGGAGGGGAAGCCTAATATCACACCAATATGTTCTAAAAAATAGAAATATACATTCTATAGTACATGTGAAAACATGCTATGATCTCATTTAGCCCATCTGACTCACTAATACTGAAATCTCCCCATGGAAATAATGTTATATTCCATCTAATCTACTTGTGGTTTAAAAGAGTATTTATCTCAAAGATTTAATTTTCTTTGAAAATGTGATTCATAGGCAAGGTAGATTCCCCATAGACTCCATGTTATAAAATTGCAAAAAGTGAAATATATTTTCTTTTACTGAACTATTTTCATTTGTATAATTATCACACACAAGGTTTATATGAAAACCGATCCACCAAACTGATGAATATCATGTTTAATTAAGGGAATCTTCTGCCATTTTATCTGACCCAAATAAGCCACCTGGTGGAGAAACTTGTCATCACTCCTCTTTTTTAGCAGAGATAAGAGAGAATTAATTAGCTCTTACCCTATTTGACCAGTCTGCACCATTGCTCATCAATTTGATCTGGATAGTAAGGTAGACTAAGCAAATAAGTGTATTATGCTTTGTCATCCTGAAATAGTGACTCTATAAAATATGCAAATATCTGTGTCTCATATTTATTTGGTAATTTAGGCCTTATTAATATTCATTCCTTTGGATGGATGATGGTATTTTTATATTGTTGACTTGCGTTTAACATTTAGAAAAAAAAGATTTTCGTTGAGTTTTGACTTTATTTGTGAATAAATATGACTCTAGTAAATCTTATTTGTAATGTAGATTGGCTAAAACATGCCTGAAGTGAACATGAACAAACCTTGTTCTGGTACATTTCGTTACAAAACTTTGTTCTGGTGCATTTCAGTTGAGAAAGTGTTATCTTATTTACAGGGCTAAAGCACAGTGTCAGGAAGGGGTTCATTTTATGGTATTCAAGGCCTATGATGACCAGATCCTGTGGAACCTGATCCAAGCAATATGTGACGTCCTTGGTAAGTATCTAATGAAGATCCTTGCAATTAATGAGGAATTTAATAATGTTCCTTTGAAGATAATCCATATACATGCGGTTGACAGTTGGTGTCTGTAACAAATGGCAGGTGGTAATATTTTGGATGTTATTTCATACTTTGTTTCATAATACTTTTGGTCTTTTCCATGTCAACACTTGTGCTTACATATCCAAGGTTTTGTTCTCTTTTTTGGTATCCAGAGTATTTCTACTAATAATTTCTTTGTTTTTCAGATGTACAATGGAACCATGTCTGCAACTCATTTGGAGAATATTTTGTTGAGTTTTGCTTGGAAAATGGCTATGGCGATATGCTACATACACTAGGTGAAGATTTCTATCACTTTGTCAATAATCTTGATGCTCTTCACAGAATGTTGTCGATGACTTACACGGACATGAAGACGCCTTCTTTTAGGTTAGTACGGGGATATTGCAATTTTTGTTTTTGTTAATATTAATTTTATGTAGTATAAACCTTTCTTTCCCTTAGCTTATTAATAGCTTTTTATGTCACCTGCATTTGGAGTTTGTCGTCTGTAACAATTTGCAAGTTGGTGTCTGTAACACTTCGCAATAACTTGGTGGTGACATTGTGTCATGTTAATGCCTTGTCAACTTTTTTTTTGTATTTTAAAAACACAAATATGGTAATAATATGGTAAAAAACTGCATGATTTTGAAAGTTTTTTTGGCCAGGGGGGTGAACATATAATGTTAACAATTCTTAGCGATTTGTCACTCTTATTATTTACTTCAGTTATATTTAACTATAACATGATGAAATAAAAGAGATTATAAAACGGGAGGAGTTTGCTCAAACCCTCCTGGCTACTGGACTCTGACCTTTTTAACTGACTTTCAGAAACTCTGTAATCAAAACCTTTCCTACATCACTTATATATTTCTATTTTATGATTTTGATTAATATAGATTATTTTATGTCTTTGATTAATTTAGACTGGACATAAAGAGTTCTACATTCAGGTACGTGTAAGTATTGGACCACAAGTTGTCCAAATCAACCACATATCTTTAATCATGGTATTTAGTGCAGTTCATTGATTATTGTAATTATGTAATTAGGATTTTTATTGCACTTAAGAGTGCTATATTACAATTATTTTGACAGAACAAGATTCCTGTGATCATATTTCCAATCCTGAGTTACACTTGGCTCTAGGATCAACTCTTTTCTTATGCTCATGCCAAGGTGATGTTTTAAAAGGTATTCTGAAACTTGGGTTTTTCAGATGGTGATGTTTCTAGCCAAACCAAATGATACATTTTGATTTTAATGGGATGCACTGTGACACATACCATCTTTTTTTCCATTTTTCCATTTTGAAGAAATGGTTACCCTTTTGAATAATCCTGTTTTTTACCATCTTTCTTTACTATTTTGAAGAAATCGTTACATTTTTGAGTGATCTTGTTTTTCATGTTTTTCACCATCTTTCTTTATCATATGGTTACCTTTTGTGTAATCCTGTTTTTCACCATCTTTTTTATCATTTTGAAGAAATATTTACACTTTTGAGTGATCCTGTTTTTTCGGTCGCCTTTTCATTTTTTATTTTATATACTCATTGAGGAATCTTAACATGTTTAATCAATCTAATTTTTGAAGTTCTTTAAAAAATTATTTTTTATTACACAGTAAAATAGAAGAAATTATAAATGACACTGTTGTCACATTAGGTTTCGAAATAAAAACCCATGATCTGTGTAAAATTTTACTGTTTAGTTACTCTTGATATAGTAATAGATTTGGTGTTATATACATGTACTTATGTTATTAGATTTCATCTCCTGCTATAACATCATCAGTGTTCATACTTCTCATTCAAATCAGATTGACTAGGTTCAATGTATATTTGAACTCCATGGGAGACATAAAAAAGTGAAGATTCATTGCTCTAATGCTCTCTATTTTTGTATTAACTAAGTAATACCAATAAATGTGTCAAAATTCCATTATGCAAAAACATCATCTAATGGGGTCTAATACATAAAGTCATATGACATTACATTCATTGACCTTTTATTGTTTATGAAAACATATTCTCTCAAAATCAGGAAATTAGGGTGATGAGCAGTGAAATTCTGTAGGGAATTTTGGTCACAAAAATAACGAATGACAATTTACACTTCCTCTGAGTGTAACAATATAATCTTATCAGAACATACCTCAATCAAGTGTTCTGCAGTTGGCAGGATTGTCCTAAAAATAATAATTGTGTCCCTAAAATAATAATCTAATTTGTATGAGTCCCTCATATATGGATAAAACTGTTAACCAATTTTTTACAAGATTCAGCAAGAAGTGGTGTAGTGAACAAGCCATTATTTCATAACAAACTATTGTAATTAAATGCTTTATATATCCAGAAGGATATCAAGCTAAATAGTATATTGTATTAAATGTATGTAATATTACTGCTGAATAAAAAAAATTACTCTTATCTATAATGAATAGACCACACGCCCCATATATCTCACAAAGCAGTTGGCATGAGTCACACTTATTTGATGAAGTCTTTGACTGAATTTACAACCATCCTCAGCAAGATTCGAGTTGATGATGTCTCTTGCTAAAGTTAAAGGTTTACATCTTTGAATGGATCATGTATAAGAATAATGTGTAATAAATATAATGTTTAATTAATTAACAAGGGAATATATCCATAAATTTTCATAAAATGTCTCTAAAATCTTTATTAAATCCATTATTTCTAGATAAATGTGGCGATGTGGTGCCATGAACAATGGCTTAACTGTTCAACAGTTTTCATTAACAATACTGATATCAAATTACACAATGATTTAGATTTCATCTATAGCCATCATTCTCATAAATATTTAAGCTAGATCATTATGGCAACCATAACATTCTCATTATCAATAAAACAATTTGATAATGTAATTAATTAATTGGTTGATGTACACTTAATAATTATTAAATATGATACATACATGTACATGATTAGCAAAGGGACCAAGCACATTGCATTACCAGCGCCCTCTTTCTAAGATCCAAAGATCCCAAGCAAGTGGAATATAAGAGGTGGTCTGTTAACCAGAATGTAACAGCCATTTTGTCCCAAGTCACAATACATGTATGAAGGGTTAATTTTCTTATTTACCAACGCTGGTGCAGTGTACATTGTTTCTTAACATGTTAGTTTGGGATGTTTGGGGTTTGTTTTCCCTATTATAGGTTGCACTCTTAGATAATTTTTCATTTCCTTGCTCTGTTATATAACACATTTTAGTATTTTCCTTTTGGCACATATGCTTGGGTGTCATCATAGATATCTCATGTATTACAAGGTTTAGAAAATATATTGAATGGTCTATCATTTTAGTTCATTTATATAATATTTTTTGTAAGAACATATAAAATTGTATTGGTATCAAAGATCTACTGCAAATGATTACTAAAATGTGGATAAAGTACAAAATCCAATCTTTTTTTGTATTATATCATTTTAAAAGGCACTCTAAAAATAATGGGGCAGTTTTGTTGCTTTTACATGTATTTCATACATTGAATACTTGGGAGTCTGAAACATTTCCCTTTGACAATAAGGTGGTGTCATTCTGAAACGCCCATGTCATTTTTATTATATATTGTTTTCCAGTTTTACAAATGTAAAGATTTTCAGCTCAATTAACATATATAAATAAAGAAGATTCTGGATATATTTGGCATCTGAATCTTGGATGTATATTATTGATCATAACTCTGCTTTCTTTTCAGATCGGAAGTGAAAAAGGGTAGATTGATTCTTCACTATTATACAACGAGAGTTGGGAAACAATTACAGCACCTTGTTATAGGTAAGTACATTGATATAGATTAGCAGTAAGACATTATTGAAATGGAGAAACCATTTTCTGATATTTTCCAGAATTATGTCCCAGTGTTCACTTCAAGATAGAGAATCCTGATTTATCATTTTGATGTTTATCTCTATTTATTGAATCTAAAACAGTATTTGAAATGTAATAAAAAACACAGATTATAAAGCATTGATAAGACAGCTTCTACATTTTACCTGATTTATTTAGCTAATATCACTGTTCCAAAGCTGGATGACTCTAACTGCAGTTAGCTTCATTCAAGATGGTTGCCGAGATTCTTTCATTTTTGATAAACCTCCGATTTCAGCTAAACTAAGTTGAATCTTGATCTAACTGAAGTTGATGATCTACGTCATCATTACGTCATCATCAACTTCAGATAGAGTCATTCTAAGTGAAGCCATTTTCTTTAAAATTCTCCAATATCGCGGTTGTTTGAGCATTTATTTGTGGTTATTTACCATCGTAGCTTTATTAATTTGCATGGATGTTTATCGAAAATGAAAGAATTTCTTGAATGAAGCTAACTGCTGTTAGAGTCATCCAGCTGTGGAACAGTGAATATGTGATATGAGGTATGATTTAAAGTGCTAGCAGATCTTTTAAGCTAATGTTATATATTTGTTTTGTCTCTTACATTTATTCTTAAGCCTGAAAAGTTTCTTAAAGCTTCTTAGAATTCCAAAAGTATTTTTTGTCACTACAAAATTTTAATTATAATAGAGCTAATTGGCTAAATTCAAGATTTTCAATTTCTTATAGCGAGATCAATAGTGCAAATAAACAGGGAAATAGTTCATTCATGGAACGAAGCGTGAAACTTTCCATATATCTTCTATATACATTCATCTTTGATTTAAGAGCATGAGACATTTTTTTGGTGCACTAGAACGACCAAAATTATTACAAATGCCCCCTCCCACCAAATCCTGGGGGGTGGGGGAGAGAGAATTTATTTTTTATTTTATAAATGTGTTTAAATATGCTCATATTGCAGATTTAGCATACTTCTTTCTTAGTTAAGACAGATTGGCATTATAATAAGATGATTTCTCATGAATTTTAACATTCTTAAAGCCTGACCGAGGTTGACACCCACTTTTCCTATATTGAATATATTCATTTAATCAGATCTCCATTTTCGGTCTAAGAAATAATTGCTATTCACCTTTCAGCAAGATAACATCAGATTCCTTTCCTAATTATGATCTTAGGCGTTGCAATTAATCTAAGAGTTATATTGCTTAAGGTTTTGGGGTAGTCATCAGAAAATACCAAACAGGAAATGAGAAAACCATGTGGATTTTAGAATTGTTTGAACTAAGATAACAGAGTTCTGCTTTAACCTTCTATCAGTTTTACTACTCCCATATATTATTTACATGACCAGGATCATAATGGTCATTGTCAAAATGACCCTTACCATGCTGAAATAGCTTTTTCAGCCCTCTGAAATTGTGACTGAAAAAAGTTAAAAGTTAGCACTTCCGAAAGGTCACTGAACAGAATATATTGAATTTTTCAGAAAATGTGCCCATTATATTATTCTGTTCACCGACCTTTTAGAAACACGAACTTTTTACTATTTTCAGTCACATTTTCAGAGCACTGAAAAGGCTATTTCTGCATGGAAAGGGTCATTTTGACCATGACCATTGTGATCCTGGCAATGTAAATGATATATGGGAGTAGTACAACTGACTGAAGATCAAAGCAGAACTCTGTTATCTTACTTCAAAAAATTCTAAAATCTACATGATTTTTTCATTTCCTGTTTGGTGTAAATTCCCAATAACTTCCCTGAGACTTTAAAGCCTTTAGGTCATTTTTTTTATTAGAAGGAATGGATGAGAACAAGATGCAAGCTTTTAAATATCCTTTAAGTCTTATAAGCAGATTCCTTCCTGAAAGTGACACACTTTAACCAGAACCAGAAGGGCCACAGAGTGACAGCTTCAGTACATTCTTCTGAAGAAAGTCTATGCTACATATACATCTGTTGAGAATCTTGACAATGGAATACCTAAAGAGTTTGATGATTGGTGTAATGCCCAACAGCATGTACCAGTTTTCATGTTTTGGTTTCTAGTTATTCAAATTGAACTCCTCTGCCTTAACTATGTGAGGGCTATCGGAAAACTTCCGCTTTACCTCCAATCAATAAGCAAGCTTCTCCCGTTTTTTCATTTTTGACCACTCCAACTATGCTCGATGGGTTCCGGTACATCTAAGGGATATGGTGCAACTACCAGAAAAACACCCAGAGATCTATGAAGCCTTCCTGAAGAGCTACTTCACTGTGTGTAAATTGAGACGAAGCTTTTCTGCCATAGCAATCGATCAAGCTCATGAGCAGAAAAACAATCTTGTTAAATCAGATGGTGGAGCAGTGGGGCTCTTTGATAACCCAGACAGCTCTACAGAAGTGGATGGTTTGAGGGCCTGAATTATCCAGACTGATCACCGAGTTTGAGAATAATATATTTGATCATCAAGATGAGGACCTATCTAATCATGAACAAAGTATTCAACAAAAGTTCATCAAAAGAGACATCAACAGACTTGTACTCCTTAGACAACAAAGAAGTTGTATCATCAACACCGTTATATGAAATGGAGCAAGCTGGCCAGAGGGGTCATTCATCAAGCTATCGCAAGCACGTCGCAAGCCTGCGATGTCGCAAGGGCCCTTTTTAGGGATTACGTCCTATTCATCAATCTCGTGCGACTGCCATCGGTAGAATTTTCTGCGACGTCGCAGTGAAATACCCCTAAAATGGCCCAAATTTAAGCGACCGGTAGTACCCAGTCCCAGTGATTTTAGTTCACGAAAAATGTCTTAAATTAGTTGAATTTCTTTATAAAATTATATAGAAATTCTAGGACGTATAGTTCGATATTCGATCCATGTTATATAAAAATTGCAGAGCATATGCGTTATGTTTAACATGTTTGTGATGCTACCAAAAACAGCTAGTTTTCGGCTTGTATTTTTAAGTACTTCACCGTGCGACCGGTCGCAGTGATTGTGCGTTACACGTGGTTTTGACCCACGTGACTGTGCCCACTCAGTATCCATATTGTCAATCTTGCATGACACGTTAATCGTCCGTTGGAAGCGTTTATTCGTTCGAAATGGCGCAACTGATGGTTGATTTCAATCGTAATGCTCTGCGTAGAGAACGCGTACTTAGAGATCGTACAGATCCTCTTCAAATAAACGATGATGCGGACCTTATTTTGCGATGTCATATGCCTAGGGTTAACTATTATAAAAGTTTACGAAATGATACAAGAGGATCTCGAAAGGATAACTAACACGTGTACAAGCACGTCCACATGGTAATCACTGCGACTGGTCGCATGGACATCGCAGACTGCGATTTGTTAATGAATAGTGCGACTGCGACCCCGCACGGTGGTCGCAGTGTCTGCGACGTCGCAGTGATTGCGATAGCTTGATGAATGACCCCTCAGGATTAGTACACATTGTACATTAAGGAAAGACTGGTTGACAGAACAAACCCTTAAGCAGACACTATGAAGAGAAACAACTACAAAATATTTAAAGAACAGAAAACAAAGATGAATATAAACAAGGAAACATTAAAAAATGACTGTGCCCTTTTCTCAAAATGACAAATAAGTCTGGCATTCTCAAACCATTAGAGCAGCTACCTACTGGAAATCAACAAGTTGAATGCCCACAGGTAGAAGCATTGCTCCTTGATGGTGCAGCTATTGTGCACCTTTTGAAACTCCAACAGGCCAAAATATTCAAACAGTACTCAGATCATGTGTTCAATGAATAAAAACTATATTTCTTCCCAGGTAGCATGAGTGGAACGACTAGACATTGTGTGGGATCAGTACCTGGAAAACAGTTTTAAACTATCAACCAGACAGAAAGAAGGAACAGGCAAACAACGCCAAGTGGATGGATAGCTTTTGGAAATTGGAAAAATTATCCAACCCATGAAATGGGTCCCTTGGACTTAGCATGGCCACTTGTCTCCCCTTATTTCATGCCCTCACTGGTTAAGACACCACATCTGGATTCCATGGTAAATCCAAAACAACAGCATGGAAACAATGGAATGCTTATCCCGAATTGACAAACGCCCAATTTTGGCTAAAGATCCAAATAAGTTAGCCGTAGCTATGCCAATCATTGAACCTTTCATTGTTATTTTATACAATACAGAAAGCAACAAAACAACTATAAATGCTGCAAGACAAGAAATGTTCATGAAGAAAACCAAACAAATTGAGAACATTCCCCCAACATTAGACGCTTTAGAGCAGCAAGTGTGTCATTTACCAGGCAGTATATGTAAGGGGGCAGTCCACTATAGCCATCCCAGTTATTCCATCACCCTCACAATGGGGTTGGGAATCAATCAACACCAAGACTGGAAAAATGATTTTGGTTCCAATGTGGAAGACACTACCCCAAGCCTCAGATGCTTTTAAAAATGCATTTGGAAGCAACAAAGTTCAACTAAACGCTGCAAGTGCTTTAAAGCCAATCTTCAATGTACTACCCTGCATTTGTGTAATGGGGAATGTGAACATTAATTGATAATGGCATATATAATACTTGAGTGCATATGGGTACTTAATAAGGTAACTGGTCAACTAGTCAGAGAGTGCTTTCATTAAAACCTAACAGAATCTATTTATATTTGTGATTAACACATATTATATCTTAATCACTAAAAGTGGGCGTGGCCAATAACAAGCCTTTAACAACAGAATTGACTTTCCTATAGCATATATTATATAAATATCATCAACTGATTTATCCTTATCCATTTTGTTCAGCTAAAGTAGGTTACTTTCCTATTCATAATCAGAAGATTCACTAACTTGCATACTTAACTCGTTGATAATATGGGCGTCGCCCCCCAGTCAGACTTTAACAATGGATATCCATGAGAAATGCTGATGTAATTTTAGTTATTATTTTGAGCATACTAAAAGCATACTAAAACTGCAATATGAGTATATTCAAACATATTTTTAAAAAGAAAAAAAATTCTCTCACCCCCACCCCCAGGATTTGGTGGGGGGGAGGGGATAATTGTAATTTTTTATCGTTCTAGTTGACCAATAAAATGTCTCATGCTCTTAAATCAAAGATAAATGTATACTGATGATATATGGAAAGTTTCACGCTTCGTTCCAAGAATGAACTATTTTGACACTATTTATCTCACTATTACCATTTCTAACTTCTATAATTATCTTTCCAGGTCTCTTACGAGCAGTTGGAAAAATGTTGTTTAATGTGACCGTCATGACAACCCTGCTTGAAACAACCAATGAACTCATCAGCTTAACATCTGAGGAACTGATAGAACATAATGTATTTGAAATTGAAATCCTTGAAAATGATGCTAAAATTGACAATCTGAGAAATTCCACATCATCAGCAGTGAATGTTAGAGGACTGGAATGTAATTTAGTTGGAGTATCTGACTTTTGCCAGATATTGCCATACCATATTGTATTTGATGAAAATCTAGAGATCAAACAGTACGGAAAGAATGTCGCAAAAATTCTGCCGTTTGGAAGTGAGCAATCAATCAGACTGGACGATTTGTTTCAATTGAAGCATCCTAAAATGCCACTGACGATGACCCACTTGAAATCTCAGATCAATGCAACATTTTTTCTTGAGCCAAAGGTGACAAATTTGAATCACCGCAGTCATATTGCACTACGAGGTAAGTGTATCATGTTATATCATGGAGGAATTCTAAATGTTATGGAAGAAAAACCCAGAAAACTAGTCGTTATGTAATGAATTAATCACTTTATTTGTACATGTCTTAAAGTAGATAAGTATACAAGACAGAACATACAGTCTTATTTCTACATGATCCTTTATTGGGGTTTCCGTTTGGTATACTCAGCTTTGACACTGAATGCATCAATCGACAGTCTGGTCATTGGAATACTGAATTCCAAACCAATGTGTTCATTGTGTTGATTTTTATGTCACCACCACAATGTGGTGACATATTGTTATGGTCTCCGTTTTTTGTGACGGCGCTTGACGATCGGTGGTTGGCGATCGGTGGTCAGTGGACTTAATGTTTTTCTGTGTGTATATATTTGTATATTCCGTATGTAGGTCAGATGTCCTGGCTTGAGAGTACCGACTTAATGGTTTTCCTTGCATCGCCAAAGATTCTCAGCATCGATGAGATGAGGGAAAAGAGACTGTTCATCTCAGATATTCCCTTATATGATGTGACAAGAGATTTGATACTGATCAATCAGCAGCGAAGTGCAGAGAGAGAAGTCAGGTATGTATATGTATCAGCGTAGTGCAGAGAGAGAAGTCAGGTATACAGTATGTACCACCGTCTCCACAGGATTTTTTCTCAAGTGGGTGCAAAATTCTCATCTTTACAATTCAGGCAGATATTAGTCAAAATATGCCCATTTTCATGATTTTTATTTTCAGGTGCGTGCAAGCCTGTTTTTTAAATCTCAAGTGGGTGCTGCTCCCACTTCCTTTAATCCTGGGGAGGTCACGTGTACACTGTTCAAAGGGGATTTGAGGCATAATGAATCATTGGTCAAGACAGAGCAGATATACCATTTGCATTCATTCGAATTTGCTTTTTAAAAGAGCGCTTCGTGTTCACTCCTTCAGTTTACAATAAAACAACTCTCTATGTATTGTCATTTCCTCTGACATGATCGCATAGTTTGAGCGCATATTTTAGCGTTCCTTCCAGCTCGCTGATTGCTTGAGTTAAGGTCAGAGTGGTAGGTTTGAAATGATTTATTACCCCACCCGTCACAGGCACTGGTTGTGGGGGTGGGGGTACTAAACTGTAATATTATATAGACTAGGCAGAGGGTAGTTTATAACTTGACTCTGCACATTTGGTAGAGCAGATCCTTGCTGCATGCGATTAGCATCATGTTTGAAATATAAGTATTTGCAATAGTCTATAGTACACAACATTCAATCAACCAGAATATTATAATAACTGCCTAATAAATTACTACCTGGTAAATGAATTGGATTTCTTAATAGGTAGATAAATGTCGAGCTATCTTTCTTGAGGCCATTGGAATGAAAGATTCAATATATTATCACAATTACATATTATAGGGAAGTGTACTGCAGTAAAACCTTGTACATCAGGACATGTCTCTTACGTGGACACCTTTCAAAGTGAACACTTTTTCAGTTCCATTTTCTTAATTTACCAACTTTCATGTTAACAAACCTTGAAATGTGAATACCTGCCAATCTTAGTCTTGCATCAAGACCCTGGATTATCTACTCTAACAGCTGGTTGTTAGTCCAATAGCTAGTACAGGGTCTTGAAGCAAGACTAGCCAATCTGAACACTTTTGATTAGTCCCAATTGTGTTCAGATATAGAATACAAATATTTTTATTCTGGAACAACGTGAATTAAAAAATTATTTTAAGTTTTATTTAAACCTCATTTCCAGAAGACCTGAATTACCGGGCAGTTGATATTTTTAGTCCAACTCAAACTTGTTGCTTGAAGCTGGCTGTAAAGAAAAAAAATATACGCCAGGCTTTTTCACCTTATTAATGAATAGGATATGTAACAAGATCACAAATATTGACACTGGTTCCATAAATCACTACCTCTTAGATGCTACACTGTGTTGCCGAGGTAACCATATTATGCTAGTTAATTAGTAATTGGCTAAAAAAACAGAAGGCTTCTTCATTAGAGAGCATAGCATGGCTATAAAACAGTGATTTATTTGTTTTGATTACTGAAGTAGATAGACTAGACCTTCATTCCAGTAACAATCGGGGTAATATATAATTGATAAAGTGTAATTTCAATAGTTCTACCATTTAAACTCTGAAACTTGGTTGTCATATAGTCATGGGCTTTAAACCAATAGAAAGATGGCAGCAGTGTGGCAGACTTTAAGTATTTTGTCTAAGATTGATTGCCATGCCATCTTTATTTAAGATTACATCTACCACCTTTGGTCTTGGGCATTTCAAACCAATATTCATATTTATCTCATATGTATACTGGGAAATGCTTTCTGCATCCTTTTGGCTCGTGCAAGTTATTAAGTTCACAGCTGCCTAACTGCCAATCATAGATCCTGGCCATATTGTTTTGGAGTAGGATCAGAAGCTCAAAGAATAATTCTTTGAGCCTATGAGATCCTACTACCTACTACATCTGTGCTACCAATGGCCTGACTGCCACTCTAGGCAATGAACTTAGAAAAAGCAAGTTTCCTATTTCGCAGTAGATTGAATACCAATATGTTGAATTAGGCAGTCATATTTTCAACCCTGGCTCTCATGTGTACTTTGACATAGATAGTTCGGAATTTTGCTTTATCTTTCATGTGAACATTATATTTATGACCAAGTTCATTTCTGTGTTCCAGTAAACACTTAGATGAGGCTACAGCCCAACTGAAACTACTGGCCCATGAACTAGAGGCAGAGAAGAGAAAGACTAATGCATTATTGTATGAGATGCTTCCTCGAAAAGTTGCTGATCAGCTAAGAGAAGGAAAAAAGGTTGAAGCAGGTATGGACTGTTATATGGACTAGTCTTTTGAAAATGCAGAGCAATTTCTGCAATATTGACCAGTTTGATCTTACTCACATGGTTTTTACATTTACAGAAAGTATAAGCACAATGTTTCAACCAAACTGAGCCCCCTTGACAAAACTAGTTTTTGGGCCGATGTAAAGATGGCAATAGTAGTAGGGTTGCAGGGGCGTAGGAAGGTGTAAATTCAACACTACGCCAAAAGTCCCGCCAAAAAAATATGAAACAATTGTGTCAATATTCTATATCAAAACGCCTATATTATGCTCGTAAAACGTCATTTTATGGTAACAGAGATTTTAAGCTTGCAATATTCACAACCTAAATGTGAACGGAAATACTTAAGCGATGCAGTTGTATGGGCGATTGGTCATACGTATAGGTTGGCGTTTCGATTTCATATGCAAGCTTTAAATCCCCGATACCTTTTTAATGTGCTTTAAAATGTTCGAATGATTTTCATCATTTAAAATCACCTTGGAAAGCCTATCTTTTAAATCTCGACACAAATCATTCTCACTTTGCTAATGTCTCGAACGATTGAGACGACCAATTTCCAAAAAACAATTAGAGATTTTTTAATCATTTTCGAATAATTGAATTAAGATATATAGTATTGTCGGATTCCATCGTGTACCGTGCAATACAATAGATTAAAGAAACTAGTTTGATCAATTGATATAAAGAAACGCATTCGTGATCAATGAAACAAATAAACACACCCACCACAAAGGTCAAATCGAGGTCAACGTGACTTAAGGGATGCCAAAAAATGTTATAAAACAAGAATCTATTATTTTTCAAATGAAAAAACTAGGTTATCGCTTTTCTAGAACTGAAATCAATGGAATGTGTAATTGAATAATCAGCATTTTCAAGTTGTTTTTATCTTTAACATCCATATTTCAAAAAGTACTACCAATAACAATTAGTGATTTAGTAAGAAAATAGATAATTGTTGACTTAACTATAATTTCGTGTCTATGATTTTGCATAGCAACGGAATATAAATTGATAGTGAAATTGAAAAATTGGGGTAGGGGAGAATAAAAAAAATATACATCTAAATTTAAAGAGGTTCATCATTATAATTATATGAAACCATAGTTAGCATAAGCATTACGGAAAATGCAGAAAAAATGTCAAAGGTATTCATCAAGTAGTTTTTGAAAAAAACAAACAATTTTCCTCTCAAATTCGTGAAGAGAACGCGATTCACGAATATTTGGCGAAATTGTATTTATAAGACAGTCAACAGTGGCTCGATTTTCATGAAATAAAGCATGTTGGTAAGGGAATTCAATCTGTTAAATGATATTTGCCAGACAGACCAATAATGATATGGTATCCACAAAACATTTCTTTAGGCTAGTGTGCTCGAGATTACTTTTACAATTTAAACAATGAGAAAATATGACTAAAGAACATAGGAAAATTAAAAAGTCTTTTTTATTCTCACTTTTCAACACTACGCACTGGCGTTTTGGCGTACATTGTTCCTACGCCACTGGGTTGTATAGATTGATTGTACTGCCGTTTTTAATTAAGAATTATTTCTTTCCTGCTTTAGCATACAGATGAGATATGACTTCAAAACAACTTTTTAGTTTCCTTGTGCATATGATCATTCATAGTTCTTTCTCTCTTGACCATTATATGCTGCTATTACATATTTCATTATTTGTCAGTGATAAAGAAGTTCATCATACTGTCTCAACAGTATAACAATACATGTATATTCATTCATGATTTTTATTGTAGAGAAATTCTCGGAGGTGACCATATTGTTCAGCGACATTGTGTCATTCACTGATATAGCTGCAGGCTCTCATCCTATGGAAGTTCTACAGATGCTCAACTGTTTATACTCCAAGTTTGATCACCTCACGTCAATACATGATGTGTATAAGGTATGAGTAAATCTTATTAATTTCCATGCATGCTGTACAAGGTTTAAGTAAATCTCACTTCCCTATATGATGTGTATAAGGTATGAATAAATCTTATTAATTTCCATGTGTGCTGTACAAGGTTTAAGTAAATCTCACTTCCCTATATGATGTGTATAAGGTATGAATAAATCTTATTAATTTCCATGCATGCTGTACAAGGTTTAAGTAAATCTCACTTCCCTATATGATGTGTATAAGGTATGAATAAATCTTATTAATTTCCATGCATGCTGTACGAGGTTTAAGTAAATCTCACTTCCCCATATGATGTGTATAAGGTATGAATAAATCTTATTAATTTCCATGTGTGCTGTACAAGGTTTAAGTAAATCTCACTTCCCTATATGATGTGTATAAGGTATGAATAAATCTAATTTGGTTGCATTTTCTCTAAAAGGTACATTAAGTCTAGCTGATTTCTGTACATGATGTGCAGGGTGTCCATAAATTATCTTTACAATTGCAATATAAAATCTGTGTAAAGAGACTTCATGGGCACCCTGTATATCAGGTATTAATAAATCTGATTTCCCTGCATGATGTTCATAAGGTATGAATAGATCTCCTTATATTATTAATCGGTGCACTTTGGGTTTTAAAAAAGTTTCTCAAGAATGAATAAAATTCTGTTTGCTTTGCTCTCTCGTGCAGATATCAATATCACCTCGTAGATAAAAATGATATTCCTCAAAATCATTTAATGTGACAATGTTAGAATTATATTAGTCAGAAGGAAAAAATATATTATTGGCTCATTCAATATTACTAAATCCTCATGATAAAGCAGCAAATTGTATTGTCTTCACCAAAAATTAACAGGTGAGCCTCATATTTACATGGAGATTGGTTAATCCCCCCTCTTATTCAGGTTGAGACCATTGGAGATGCATACATGGTGGTTGCTGGGATACAGAGAGAAGGGGAGACATCTATAAAGGTTGCAAACATGGCACTTGCAATGATGCAGGAGTGTCACACGGTCTCCTCTCCAGTTACAGGAAAACCCTTACAGGTACCTACAATTAGGGGTCAGACGGTTTAGTTTTTGAATCCCACGATTCAACTATTGGTTATTTTGTTCTTAACGCACTATTATATTCTGCTAATCATCATAAGAATGTAAAACAAATTTAGCCTATGATTACCATGTATTTGATCTCATGTTATAGCCTATGTTTTGAAATTTCACAAATGTAATACTAAACACTTAACTGTTGAAATGATATATGTATATGTGTCAGCTGAATCTGATACTTGGACATTAATATCTTTCTCATCCATCTCTGTTTTTTTCAACATCCACATTCATTCTCCATTATTTAAATGTCCATGCATTTATGAATGATAATTTTCCCTCTATTAACGTACAGTGAAATAATGAAAAACGATTTTTCAAACCAAACTGTTGAGGCAAATGATGGCGAGAGCTCTGGTGGTTTCTGTGAACTGTCTGACCCCTACCTCCAATTTGTCAGAAAATTTAGTAAACTCTCTAATTGTCAATTTGATGACTTTTGCCTAATTTTAATGTATCTTCATTTCAAAATATATTCTGTTTGTTTCAGATTCGTATAGGATTTCACACTGGTCCAGTGGTGGCTGGTGTAGTTGGGGACAAAATGCCAAGATACTGTTTGTTTGGTGACAGTGTGAATACAGCATCTAGGATGGAAAGCAACAGTCTGCCTGGCCACATACATATCAGTCCTCAGTCTCACCAGTATGTACATCTGTAGTATATTCCCTAGTTGTCTCAAACACAGCACCCCATAATCTCACCAGTATGTGTTACTCCAGTATGTAGTATATTATTTAGCTGTCTCAAGCACAGCAGCCCATAATCTCACCAGTATGTGTTACTCCTGTATGTAGTATATTATGTCACCACCAAAAAGTGGTGACATTGTTATGGCCTCCATTTTTTGTGGCGGCGGTTAGTGATTGGCAGTTGGTGGTTGGCGATCAGCTGTTGGTGTCTGTAACAAATTCTTACAACTTCCAATAACTTAGCAAATACTGTTTAGACTGACTTCAATTTCTTTCAAAATCACCTACAAGTTGACAGAAGTTCAAATCTGGTCAAAAGGGCATTTTTTCAACTTGCTTTAAATTGGCCTTTTTTCAAAATCATCCACAATATCTTAGTAGTTCAAATCTGACTTTAGATTTGAGATTTCACCTTCAGTGTCAACAAAAGATTTGACCTTCAATGACCTTCTCAAGGTCAAAAAGGTATTTCTTCAACTTGCTTCTAATTGACCAATTTTTTCAAAATCATCTCCAAGTTCTCAGAAATTCAAATCTGACTTAAGATTGAGCTAATAATATTGTGAGCTAGGTGGTGACATTTTGTCATGTTAATGCCTTGTTCTATAATTGTCTCAAACACAGGAGGCCATAATTTCAAAATATATGTTACTCCAGTATGAAGTTTATTCTCTAGTTGTCTCACACAAAGCAGCCCATAATCTCACCAGTATGCGTTACTCCAGTATGCAATATATTCTCTATTTGTCTCTAAGACAGCAGCCCATAATTTCACAAATACATGTGACTCCAGTATGTTGTATATTCTCTAATTGTCTCAAACAAAGCAGCCCATAATCTCACCAATATGTGCTAGCATATTCTCTTATTTTCTCAAACACAGCAGCCCAAAATCTTGCCAGTAAATCTCATCCGTATGTGTTACTTCAGTATGTAGTATATTCTCTAATTGTCTCAAACACAGCAGCCCATAATCTCACCAGTTTGTGTTACCCCAGTATGTAGTATATTCTCTAGTTGTCTCAAACACAGCAGCCCATAATCTTACCAGTTTGTGTTACTCCAGTATGTAGTATATTCTCTAGTTGTCTCAAACACACCAGTCCATAATCCCACCAGTATGTGTTACTCCGGTATGTAGTCCTCAACAAATCCCCAAGATTAAATCAAGACAGTTATTATATATTTAGAACAGTGCTAATAAAGTTGGTAAAGATGCCAAGTCATTGATAAACTTTATATTTCCAGGGTACTGTCAGATAGCTGTAAATCTTGCAAATTCAAATCTCGAGGTATGATCAACATTAAAGGAAAGGGAGATATGGAGACATTCTTTCTACTAGGCATAGGAGACACCAGTATTGAATCCAACATGGATTATATTGAAAACAATGTGGATGTTGAGCTTAAAGTGAAATCTGCTACAACAGAGGAAGAAAATGGTGATGTAAAATCAAACTCAAAGAACAATTTGAGAATTATACAAGATGTAAGAGATGTAACAGCAAGTGGACATGGTGGAGAAGTTGTAAAACAACAGGAGAGTAGACTGTGTTGCATTGTATAATTGTTTTGCTGCTATAAACAGATATACTGTACTCCTGGTAATTTTCGCGTGCTAATATATTTCACAATTTCTGCAAGATTTGGAAAATTCACAAAATATAATAGCCACGCAATAATGCAGATGCAAGTAGTTAGTTACCAGTTTCAACACCAGGTGGCTCCTTCGAGCCAGATAGCATGGTGGGTATAGTAGAAAGTTCCGTTTACCTTAAATATTCATACATGTTTAAGTGGTTCAGTTTTGATATCAACCTTATGTATCTAATAGTTATGCAAATTAAAATATGTCCAGGAAAAGGTAAATGTTATCTGTCCAATATAAAAAAATTATTCATTTTTTGTGATTTTATAACATTGGGGTCTATGGGGAATCTCCCTGATCTAGAAGTTCGACCCTAAAAGGGCATCAGTACAAAATAAATCCTATTAGTACATTATACAAAAAAAATTAAATTTTCAAACTTGATGAACAATTTACGAAACCATATTTCTAGATGTAATTTTACATGTAGATTTCAAATATGATATCACTTTGACTGAATTTTGAATATTTAATGAGGTAAATCAAGATTATTTCAACTATTTCCGGGAATTAATTTCACTCAATGTTGATATTTTCATCCTCTGCAAGGCAAAAAAGGGAGGGAGGTTACTACAGTACATTCTTGATTCTTAAAATGAACATTCAAAATTGGCTCAAGATGAAGCCAAAATATACGGGTGAAGGGAAAAGCACGGCTTATACATGTAATATTGAAGTTGAAAGGGTAGTTTTGCATTAAGGAATTGCCAACTTAAAAAAAGAAGCTGGACTTCTTGAGTCATAAATCTGCGAAAATTAATAGTCACAAAATTTCAAGAAACTTGAAATTAGCGAAATATAATTAGGTCACTTATATACTATACTTCTACTTATTTTGGTGGCTTTGCTGTTATGAACATTTGATGATTACGGACTTGCAATATTGAAATATATATACGATACAAATTTACAATTGAAATATAAAATATTGAGATTGGCGGCTACTTAATTTGGACTATTTGAACAATTTGGCGGATCAATCAAATCAAAACAGCAGTCAAATTAAATAGAAGTACAGTATCCCAGTTCACCTGTACATTCAAGGCTATCAATACTATCAAGCCATTGTAATTATATCACCAAATGAAGAGAATTTCAAGATGGCCACTGAATTTCAAAATGGCCACCATTTTATGTAAAACATAAACTCTGATTACTCACAAGTGGACCGATGTGGTTCTTTTATATGTTGATGCCTTTTTTGTTAAAATACGATCTTTTATAACTCAAGTACCACCTGTACCAGTGGACAGATTTGCTTCAGATTCGATTTGCTGATGCCTAGAAACAAACGAATCTGCTTGAGAAGACATTTTCAAAATGACAGCTAAATTCCAAAATGGCCACCATTTTTCATGAAAATGTAATCTTTTATAACTAAAATTTCAGTGGAAGAGTCGCTTTAAATTTTGTATATTGATACCTACATATAAAGAAGCTCTGCTCACGAAGAAATTTTCAAGATGGTTGCAATATATCAAAATGGATGGCATTTGTCAATAAAAAATGTAATCTTTGATAACCCAAATACCAGTTAATGGATTAGGTTCAAATGCTGATGCCTAGAGACAAAGGATTTTTATTTGTATCTAGTCGATTGCTTGTCATTTACATACAGTGACACCTGTATAGCCAAATATCTCTCAATGTGAACAATTTTCTTAGACCCAAAGGACGATTCTCGGTTTGGAGAACAGTCTCCTGGGCTAATAATTTTTTTCATGAAAAATATATAAATATTACCCAAATTAAACTATGAATATTCAAAAGAGGACATTTAAATCTACAAGATGTAAAAATAACAAATTGGTCTGAAGCAGGGATAACGATCAATTAGACCGATTCAATAAAATACAAGTCTCGATTTGGGGAAAAAAGTTCATAAGTGTACTGCGCTAATATTTTTTTGCGAAAAATCTAGAAATATTACCCAAATTAAATTATGACCATTCAAAAGAAGACCTTCAACTCTATATTATGTAAAAAAATCAAATTTGTCCAAAGCAGGGATAATGCTCATTTATATTGATGAACTTCGTTCTCCAAACCTAGAATCGTCCTTTATTTCTCTCATTGACTTACAAGTTTATAAAACCTTAAAATGTGAATACCTGCTAATCTGAACACTTCTTGCCAGTCACATAGGCGTTTGAATTAGACAGGTACTATCGTATATAGAATTATAACATACCTATGATGATGTATAGTGTAAACTTTTCACAAGAAAGCGGGCCAATATAACTTTTGAAAATCCCGCGCCCGCGCTCGCTAACTTTCTGATTGGTCAAGCGCTGGGACTATGTCATACATTAGGCCTAGGTCAAATTGACTCGTACATTCGTAAGATACAAACATGGGAATGAATCATCATTTCCTAACCATTGCTAGTCAATTGGATAAGAAAATGGTACTCTCTGACCAGACTAGATCATCATAGGTATGTTATAAATCGTTTATGTCACTCTAGTTGCACATATGCCCTCGGTTCTCAGTGATCAATGTGCCTCCCAAGGTCTGGCCATATATCACTGACAGTGAAACCCTCGGGCATATATGCAACGATAGTGACATAACCTCTAAGTATTGACCTAAAAATTGTAATTGCTAGACCGGGCTGTCTGAACAATCTACATTTTCATCATAACTAAATATATAATATTTTAAAATTAAAAATTAAAATTTTTAAAACTGATATACATGTTGTATTATTAATTTATTAAATACATGAAATACACGATAGTTAATAACACTAAACAGTGAATTTATGTTTAAATTTGTATTATTTATCATATAAAAACTGTGATTACACATGTATATAGAATAGAGTTGATCATTTCTATTCACATGATACATAACTACAATCAATAGGCTTGGATGTAAACCTAATATTAGAACTTGGAGAGAATTCCTTAGGCCCACCTCGTAAGCAGTTTGACAACATCCATATTGAATGAACTTCTTGCACTCTTTTCAATTTTGAAAGACAATTAAATTACATCCAACGTGAACAGAGAACAAGGTTTATACGAAGTCTATTGAACTTACATGTCATGATGAATTTTGTAAAAATATAGAGTTTGTTATTTTATTTAGGATATTATTTGCATTTGAATGCTCTAAGCCATGATTAGATGATGTACAGGAAATATTCTTAGCATTATATTCTAAACTTCATTTTCTTTTATCAGTACTCAGTTTTCTGAAATCTGACATTTCATAAATATGATCTCTAGCATTTAAATATATTTTTCAAACATCATACTTCTGTGATATTTCTTCATATGCCATTAATCTATCAATAGTTACAATATCACATACAACGTTTAATACCTTTTGTAATCCAATATGTAAAACATACTTTGCTCCCCCTTATTTTGAAATATTCATCATTCCAGATACAGTAAAACCTGTCTAAGTGGAACACATTGGGCACCTCTAAAAGTGTTCTACTTGGGAGGTGTTCCACTTTTAGAGATTCATTTTACATAAATACAGTTGTTCTTGGTACCCTGGAGTGTTCCAATAACAGAGGTGTTCCACTTTTAGAGGTGTTCCAATTGATAGGTTTCACTGTGAAAGATTGGTCAGATTCAGTTTTATAATTTTACCTTATTCGGCAAATAAGTTTGGCACACAGGATATGAATGATATTAATGTGCAAAATGTGACCACCTGCCATTTGTTCCTAATGCCGCGCCAAACATCAAACACCATCCTCAAAAAGGTTCATGACCATAACAATTATGTCACCACTTGCGGTGATGACATAATAATAAAAACATTTTAGGTTGATTTAGGATCAGAATTATACACAAAACAGGCCCTCTATATTCTATAAAAAGACAGGCCCTCTATATTATATAAAAAGACAGGGCCTCTATATTCTATAAAAAGACAGGCCCTCTATATTCTATGATGATAATCATGGCGTGGCTGGAGGTTCTTCCTCATCAGAGTCAAATTCTACATTTTCATCTTTTATCCAATTTCCACTTTTGTCTTTCATCCAACCCGACTCCCTCAGTTTTAAATAATGTTCAGCTTTTCTCTGTGTTTCAGGGTTATGTACTATCATAGGTGGGTCTGCCATTGTTGGTTCTTTTTTGAGCCTTTTGCTTGTTGAAGATTCACTGTCAGTCACATTTGCGGACACAGCTTTTGATTTCAGTGATTCTAACTTGTGTAATAAGCAAGGTTTTTCATCGGTAAAACTCTTTGATTTTCTAGGGTTGGATTGAGGTTGGATTTTCGATTGCTTTCTTATGTATGGGTTCACTTCTATGGGATCTGTATGTTTTCCAATGTTTAACGCCAATTTCATTCCTAATAAGGAAGGTTTTGAGTGTTCTGTAGATGGAACATCTGTTGATAAACTATCTTGATTTGAAGTATATGCAGATTCAACTGATATTTTCGGCCTACGTTGGTGGCGATTAACTTTTGGCTTTTTGACTCGTGGATCATAAGCTTGCACTTGCACAGTGTTATTTACATGACCTGCTATGTTATCGACTCTCTGTTTCACTTCAGGTGCTATTTGTATGTCAACTGTTCCATCCTTCATAAACTGCTCATGTTTCCGCTTGGCTACCATATTGAATAAGTCCGTATCTTCTGCTTTCTTTTGTTCCAGATTTTGTAAATGTTTCTTACTTGAACGGTGTAATGCAAGAACATTCACAGTGTCAAATACAGGTCTGTGATGACAAACCTTACACGAGTATCTACCTGTGTTCATAACAATTACCTCATCTTCAGGTATGTCTTCAGCGAACAATTCATCTACACGTCTTTTCTGTATACTCCTAAGTGTCGCCATGTCGACCTTATGTAGAATAATGGGTCGAATTACAGCTCTTACATTGATTGGTGGTCAAATTTTGTCATGGACACAGCTACGCCAGTCAAATTAGGTTTGACTTGATATATAGTCTATACATGTAGTTTTACACTGTAATCACATTCAGGCTATCTCTTGTTGAATGCCCATGGTTTAGTCTACAGATATATTGAGTCTTAGTTTAAAACTGGCAAAGTGAGCAAAATTTCTTATCCAACTAAATTTTCAAGAGTCTTTATGCATCGCCTCAAAAGTTAACAGCTCGGAATTCTATAGACTATGCTTACATCAAACGAGAATTACAAAATAAAGAGAAAATTGCAAAACTTTTGTTGTGAATTTTAACTTCCGGTTGTTTCGGTAAAAATACGAACGGATACATTTTAGCAACGAGTAAACTTTAAGGTAGTTCGTTCTGTTCAGAAATTTTAATAGTTACTTTATTGGCGATTGGTCCCGAATGATTTTATGGTTCACTCATTTCATACATGGTCTACTAGATCCCCGGAACTACATCTTTTAGTTTCGTTCAAAGATTTTGTGTGTACTTGCTGATCGGGGGGGGGGGGGGGGGGCGGGGAGGCACAATCACCACATAGCCAATTGTCAAATTAACAATACAAGACATAACCCAATACCAAACTGACATAACACAACCAGGCAAACAAACAACTATCATTCGAAGTGTTAACACAATATAAACCTGCACAACCTAATAATAAACCAAGAAGACAACACATCTGATTAATCAAACCAAACATAACACAATGTTGAATTAACACAACGTTCGTTATAAAGCTCTTCCAGATTGTGACCCCATGCAATACATACCCTATCAAGTCACTCGACTCAGCATAACATATGCTTTCTGGCCAACATTACATAATCCATAGTCAAATTGGGATTATACAATATGACAAAACCTGATAGCAAACTAACATAACACAACCAGGAACAACCACCAGAATCACAGCTAATTGTCGAACTAACACAACGCAATCGGGTACAACCAAACAATAAACCAGCTGAAAAAAAACTACACTCAACCTACTGTTGGATTGCTCAACACAATCAGGCACAACCAGATTGTGGTACCAATATACCCAACCAAGTCACAACGGGAAACAACCAACTGATTGTACACAGCTTTCGAAAGACCATGACACAATCTCATAAGGAAAGAAACCCCCATTGTCAAATAACAGCTCAATGTGTGATACCCCAATACCAGAATGACTAAAATAACACTACCACCCGAATGTCAGTCTTGCATGTAATACATAATGAACCATTCGAAATTCATTCATAAACCTAACCCTCTTTTGCAAGTAATGGGTGGCCCTGAAAAGGGCCTTTGAGGTTGTAGTGGTTGAATGTTTCAGTATTTATTTCTTGGCTGGTTTCTTTGCTGCTGCCTTCTTCTTGGGAGACTTCTTTGCAGCTGGCTTCTTTGGTTTGGCGGCCTTTTTGGTTGGAGTCTTTTTTGCTGCCTTCTTAGCTGCTGGTTTCTTGGCAGCCTTCTTGGGTGTTTTGGGTTTCTTAGCTTCTTTCTTTGGGGTCTTTACTTTCTTCTCTTTCTTGGCCACTGGTTTCTTTGCCTTGGGTTTCTTGGCAACTGGCTTCTTCACTACCTTCACCTTCTTTGGCTTCTCGACCTTGCCGATTTTGAAGGAGCCGGATGCACCAGTTCCTTTCGTTTGCTTGAGAGCACCATTCTTCACACCAGCACGAAGAGCCATCTTCAGGTGAGAGTTAACAGATGCATCACCACCAAGGTCCTTGAAGTTAGCCTGGATGTACTTCAGGATAGCAACTCGGCTGGATCCTGTACGATCTTTCAATGAAGTGATTGCTTGCTGGATCATCTCGCTGTATTTGGGATGATTGGCTGGCTTCTTTGCCTTTGTTGCCTTCTTTGCTGCTGCGTCTGCCATGGTAAAGTTGCTGTAGGTTGCTGTAGGATGTCTACGACGTATTCTGGTCAGATGAAACTGATTGAATGAAACTCCAGCGAATGTGTTGTTGATTTATACAAATCGCGCGGACGTTAGAGAACACACTTCCGGTTTCTCCTACATCTAAATCAAATGTCCGATGTGGTATTCAAAGTGTGCTTGTCGAAATTTTTCAAATATTATTTTCTCTTTTAATTACTCCAGGAATATATAATTTATTGGACTATATAGAAAACTAGTATACTATATTTTATCACAAAATAATAGTTAACCAACTGCATTGATTGTATAATACAATTATTTCTGTTTGAATGCCATTTGTTAATTAAAAATCTTCAAAATTCTACCTTCACAAGTGTTTATCGCAGCAAAATTGACAAAAGAGCATTAATTTTTATTTAAAAACAATAATTCTGGTATGTATTCTATGAAATGAAACCAAATTTATTAACGTATTGTTTAAGTAACAGGTAGAAATTAATTATTGAATTTGGATAACAAACACACTTTATTTCGATCGGCCGCCATTTTGGTCTCACGAAAATGTAAAATACATAAATGTTTTCTGTTCAATGTGCTTGAATCACATTAGAAAACACGACAATGCTATCACAAAACTTTGGAACTATACCAAAGCTTTGGTTAACTGACTGAAAAACTAGCTTGCTATATGGGGAAATGCTTGAAATAGCAGACAACGTTTTCCCCATTGAAAATACATTGAGGAAATCGAGGTCAAAATAATTTGTGTGTAAGATAGCTGTTCGAGACAATTTACTGATTTATTCTAATCCACATCGTCGATTGTGAAAATTTGACTAATTGCTAATATCTATGTGATGTATCTTAAAACATTGGAATGCCTTCAAATCAAACTTCCAGGTAATTCGGGTGGTTTTGATACCGATTGCGTTTTAACGTTTGGTTGTGCCGGTCTAGTAGGTTAGTCATAAGGAATACATTATGTACTGCCCGAGTGTGAGTGTGTGAGATCCAAATTCTATTTGAATACCAATTATTACAAAATCTCTCTCGTAGAGTATATATCATTAAATTATGTACACACATTTGAATTTTCAAAACCTAACAAATGCACATTAGGGACGACTGATTGAATTATACTTCAACTAGTTGAAACTAATCATCAACGATTGTGCTTTACTTGGCGAGATTAAATTAAAATGCAATCTTCCCAGGCCTTAACGGACCCGACGCTGCCATAAAACTCTTCTTCGTGTTCCTTCCGAGGGTTTCTTCTTTAGGTCAAGTGTTTTACCTAACAGATCTTTCATCGTAACTTGTAATCGAGACAATAGCACCATAATTACATGTACATGTAGGCATCTGGTCTGAGGGGCGAGGATGCAACAAAAAATGTTCAAAAACACATTTTTGTGCTGTCCATTATTTTCAATTAACTTTATTTCTTATTCATGCTTAGAACTGATGTATCTGATAAGAAAATGTATCACAGATATCCACAACACAGATATCCACAACACAATTGCAATGGCGTTAAAAAACGTCCGGAACTTTTTTGTATGGCAAGTGATTTTAGACTGTCATACATTTGATCGCGAGTACTTTTAATATCAAATTTACTGTGACATTTCTCTTCAAGACTAAAATGTTTTCCTCAAAGAAAGCTCATTACTCAGGGTAGTAAAAGTATCAATCAATCAATCCGTAGGAAAAAAACATGGATAGGACCATAACTCAACACTTTTTCAAAATGTTACGTTGGACTTACGTTGTCTTCACAGAGGATCTTGTTTTTATTTTATTTCTTAAATAGATATGAGGCTTTTAATTTCTCGTTAGGTGGAATTAGTTTAATTTGAAGGTTAATTTGGCAATTTGATATTAAGTTTCGGTGACCAAAGTAATGGTGTTTGAATGGGCGGCATGAATTTTCCCTTTTTGGAATATCACGTACATGGGATGAGTTATTTTTAACTGCATCGCATTCCAACGCGGTGCTCTCTTTCAGAAGTTACTGATATAGTGCAGAAGAAACTCATATGGCAAAAATAAGAAATGTTCTCTCTTTAGAAAATCTATGGAGATGGTCCCAAACAATGATTTTAAAGAGTCCAACATACCATAATCACCACATGCCACAGCCCATTGTCAAATCAGTAATAACACAAGGCATAACACAATACCAAACTGACAAAGCACAACCAGACAAACGACTATCATTCGTAACCCGATATAAACAAGCTTAACCTAATAATAAACCTAAACAACACATCTGATAAACCAAACCAAACATAACACATTGTTGAATAACACAACGCAATAAAGCACTACCAGATTGAGACACACTCGACTGAGCAGTGTGAGCACCACATATGCTTCATGGCCAGCATAACACAAGCCATAGTCAAATTGGGATTGTACAATATGCCAAACCTGATAGCAAACTAACATAACACAACCAGGAACAACCACCAGAATCGCAACTGATTCTCAAACTAACACAACACAATCGGGCACAACCAAACAATAAACCAGCTGACAAAACCAAACTAAACACAACCTATCTTTGGATTGTACCACACAATTAGGCACAACCACAATTGTGTTACCAGTATACCCAACCAAGTCCAAAAAACAAGAGAACCCCTATTGTCAAATAATCTGAGATATCCCAACACCAGAATGACTAAAATAGCACTACTACCTGAAAGTAAGACTTGTATATTATACGTGTAATAAACCATTCGAAACTCATTCATAAACTTATCTCTCTTTTGTGATTAATGGGTGGCCCTGAAAAGGGCCTTTGAGTTTGTAGTGGTTGAATGTCTCTGTTTTTATTTCTTGGCTGGTTTCTTTGCTGCTGCCTTCTTCTTGGGAGACTTCTTTGCAGCTGGCTTCTTTGGTTTGGCGGCCTTCTTGGTTGGAGTCTTTTTTGCTGCCTTCTTAGCTGCTGGTTTCTTGGCGGCCTTCTTGGGTGTTTTAGGTTTCTTAGCTGCTTTCTTTGGGGTCTTTACTTTCTTCTCTTTCTTGGCCACTGGTTTCTTTGCCTTGGGTTTCTTGGCAGCTGGTTTCTTCACTACCTTGACCTTCTTAGGCTTCTCGACCTTGCCGATTTTGAAGGAGCCGGATGCACCAGTTCCTTTCGTTTGCTTGAGAGCACCATTCTTCACACCAGCACGAAGAGCCATCTTCAGGTGAGAGTTAACAGATGCATCACCACCAAGGTCCTTGAAGTTAGCGTGGATGTACTTCAGGATAGCAACTCGGCTGGATCCTGTACGATCTTTCAATGAAGTGATTGCTTGCTGGATCATCTCGCTGTATTTGGGATGATTGGCTGGCTTCTTTGCCTTTGTTGCCTTCTTTGCTGCTGCGTCTGCCATTGTAAAGTTGCTGTAGGTTGATGTAGGATGTCTACGACGTATTCTGGTCAGATGAAACTGAGTGAATGTTACTTTAGCGAATGTGTTGTTGATTTATACAAATCGCGCGGACGTTAGAGAACAAACTTCCGGTTTCTCCTTCATCGAAATCAAAATGTCCGATGTGGTTTTCAAAGTGTGCTTGTCGACCTTTTTCAAATATTATTTTCTCTATTAATTACTCCAGGTACATATAATTTATTGGACTATATAGAAAACTAGTATACTATATTTTATCACAAAATAATAGTTAACCAACTGCATTGATTGTATAATACAACTTTTTCTGTTTGAATGCCATTTGTTAATTAAAAATCTTCAAAATTCTACCTTCACAAGTGTTTATCGCAGCAAATTTGGCAAAAAAGCATTAATTTTTATTTAAAAACAATAATTCTAGTATGTATTCTATAAAATAAAACCAAATTTATTATCGTATTGTTTAAGTAACAGGTAGAAATTAATTATTGAATTTGGATAACAAACACACTTTATTTCGATCGGCCGCCATTTTGGTCTCACGAAAATGTTAAATACATAAATGATTTCTGTTCAATGTGCTCGAATCACATTAGACATCACGACAAAGCTATCACGAATCAATGACACTATACCAAAGCTTTGATGAACTGTCCGAAAACAAGCTTGCTACTACAGGAAAATGCTCGAAATAGCAGACAAAATCTTCCCCATTGAAAATACATTTCAGGAAATCGAGGTCAAAATTTGAAGATCTAGATACAGTTTGAGACAATTCACTGATTTATTCTATTCCAACGTAGATTGTGAAAATTTGACTGATTGCTTAAAACAAGATGATGTATTCTAAAACATTGGAACACCTTTTATCAACACTTTCTCGTAATTCGGTTAGTTTTGATACCGATTGCGTTTAAACGTTTGGTTGTGCCTTGGTCTAGTCGGACGGAATGTACTGCCTGAGAACTGAGCTGAGAGTGAGAGCCAGTAAGTGTATAGGATCCACGTTTCATATGAAGACCAAAACAAAATCTCTCTCGTAGACATTTGAAGCTAACAAATGAACATCGATCAGGTCACGACTGGTTGTATTGTATCATATTCAGTGACGTTGAAACCCCGGTTTTAAACCAACCATCAATCGGATTGTGCCGTTCACTTGCGGGATTAAATATCTTCCCAGGCCTAAGCGGACCCGACACTGCCATAAAATTCTTCTTCATGTTTCTTCCCCACGTTTCTTATGTTTTACCTAACTGATCCCTCATCATAACGTGTACTCCGAGACATAGGTGCTTAGGGCTTAACCGCAGTGGGCATCTGTCCTGAGGGCACAGGACTCGATGCAACAATAAAATATTTAAAAACATCAATTAATTTTATGTCTAATTCATGCTTAAAACTGATGTATCTCATAAGAAAACTTATCACAGATATTTACAACAATTGCAAATGGAATTCTTATGAAGTTAAAAAACGAGCTGGACTTTTTGTAAGGCAAGTGATAGTATAAGTTATACTGTCGTGCCTTTGATCATGAGCTGTCATACCTTTGATCATCTTGAGGATCTTGTTTTTCATTTTCATTTCGTAAATAAGTATGAGGTCTATAATTTCTCCTTACGTTGAATGGCGTTGCAAGTTTAATTTGGAAGATATCAACGGGTGGCCAAAGTAATGCTGAAAACAATGGACCCTGTGAGTTTTCCCTTGTGGAATATAACATAAAATGTGTTATTTTTCAAATGTATCGCATTTCAACGCGGTTCTCTCTTTCAGAAGTTACTGACATTGTGCAGAAGAAACTCACATGGCAAAAAATGAGAAATGTCCTCTCTGAAAATTAGTTCAACGTCGTTAAACTCAATAACGGCGTTATTTATTATTAAGAATTTTCTTGGGGCCATTATTGAGTTTAACCTCTTTACTATTCTTTCCATTGATGCAAGTTTTGGATCCACCGAAACCATTTTTCCGCGATAACATGCAACTGATACTTGACAACAATATAAAAACACATAACATCAAGCGATTCAACACAATATTATTGTATTAAATGGTCATTTATACAAGTAAAATGAGGTTAAACTTACCAATCTCTAAAATGACATTTCCGCATGTCCTTCATTGTGTCTGTTCGTCCCGGGTTAAAATTTAAACTTTTGAAACGAAATTGTTGTCAAATAGATTGATAATTATCACGCGATTACTCGGGATAAAATAGCCATTTTTGAGGATAGCAGGTATCTTTGATTGATTTATATAGCGCTTGTATACACACAAAATCGTTATTAATTGCAAACCTACTGTTCGTTGATGCAGTGTCGCAATGACGGTTAATTCCTGATACGATTTGCAATTTCGATGTTACCGGAGCTGACCGATATTTTCGTAAAATTCCAAACCTGTCTCCAATATTTTCGTAATTATGCATCAATATGGTCTAAGGGGGGTACGGGATGGTGTGTATGTATTTATAAGGTATGTATGCATGCTTGAATCACATTCTTTATGTAATATTACCATGTTTTCGGAGTTTAATTAGTTCCGCATGTCGAAACCTGCTGAACGATTAAATGATCGCAACAAGGGCAAAATCATCATGGAAGTTAGACCTAGCCGGGGCCATAAGACATGTCAGATAAGAAACGAGGCCCAGGCTAGGTCTAATGTTGTTGGACTATCTGAAAATAAGCATGACATTTTTGGGAAATCTGTGAAGATGGTCCCAAACAATGGTTTTTGAAGAGTCGGGTTGATATCTTTGTTTTTCTGATTACTCAATACTTCGAAGTGAAGAAAACATAGTTTTCAATGAAAAATTATTTATGGTCAGAATTTAAAGGATTTGGACTCTAAAATCATTTGCCAAGGACATACCTGGTCTTTCCCGTTCATGACTGTTTTACGTATTGGAATAAACTGGTGTAAGTGTAGGTCAGGCGTGATTAATTACTTCTTTTAGTACAGGCTTAGGAACATTCCAGAGAGGCTTCTTTCTATGACATATCCCCGCACACGGTATAACAAGGCGTTTATTTAGGCCACGCGTCTTAACGTTAAAATAATGAAAAATAGAAGTCAACATGCGGGTGTGATGAATTGACAAACTGGCACTTTATTCTACTGCCATCTATAAACCACAAATGATGTAAAATATCCATCAGAAGTTGCATCTCAACCTTTTTAGAGACGGCCATAGGAGTATGCCTTAATTACCTATTATAATTACCTAATTAGCAAATCAACATAAAACATAACAGTTCTTATTTGTTTATAAAATATTTAATATTTTGTCATATCGTTAACATGATATAATATTTGTGTTGTCAATACTGCTTTGTAGTTTACAATATAGCAGATTTATATACAGCAGTATACAATAGGTTACAATAATTGCTAAAATATCTGTCTAGATTCTCTCTACATTCTTTTAGACAGTCTCAGTATATCTGTAGCACAATGGCATGTACTATTTAACCATTTTAAAATAACATATTCGTGGTAGTATGTATTTTACATATCCACCTGGCAAGTTTTACTACAAATTGAAATACAATATTATTTCATTAAAATGTTTTGATCTTTGTACAAAATCATTGAAAATGTAAAAAAGATACATTCATATAATTTCATGACCATGTTTTATTATTTCATGACCACGCTTTATTATTTCATGACCATGCTTTATTATTTCATGACCATGCTTTAATTTCATGACCATGCTTTATTATTTCATGACCATGCTTTAATTTCATGACCATGTTTTATCAGTTAATTATGAAGATATGTTTGTAAAGGTATTTCATTGTCATAGCTCAATTTTATACAAAAATATTTTACAAATTAATCAATTTCTTTGGGCTATATAAACTGTACAATTTTACATTCATTTGATATATCAATTGCTGGTTCAAGAGTCTTACGAGATATTTTTGTATCACATGATAAAATTATGAAATGCAAAATTTGTGAAAATTGCATGAACAATTGTTTTTGGACAATATGGTTACATAAGTCATAATTGTAATGGTGAAATCTGCAAAGAAACTTGATATTATTAGGGATGTTTTTAACCATTTTCCGTAAAATATTTGAAGGACTACGTGAAACATCATTCTTCAAATGTCCCAAAAAGTATTAAAATGACATGTTTCCATGATAGTTTAATTATATGCATACATTGTATATTATATATGTTCTTTGTCAAATCACATTTCAGCAGGGTAGAACTTTTGAAGTTCTTGAAGTAACAATCTGGTTTTCACGTCAAATAAAAAAATTTATATCTCGTTTCACACATTTTGTGTAATTCAAAATCAATCAAAATCTGGATAAAACTTGGACATGGGAAGTCCCCATAAGTCAAACCTATCGCACACTCTAATAAAAAACTTGCACTCCATGCATATAAAGTACATGTAGTTAGATATAGGCAGACTGGAAGACGTCACATTCTGTCATACACAATAGAACAGACAGCTATGATGTACCAGTGGTAAAAGACCTATCTGACAAATCAGTATAGAATCAGTATTTATGTATATCTTAATCTCAGTATTTTTAGCACTGGTACTCCATAGTTGGATGAAGGAAGAACATTTCAAATACATAAATTTCAAAAAGATATATAATTTACATGGAAGTAACTTGGACAATTAAATGCCAATGCGTCATTTATTTTGAGTAGAAATTCAACCACTATACTATTACAGATACTGCATTTTGAGTATTTTATATTCAAGGCTAGTTATAATATATTGAACAACTACCAGCAGATGTCACCACACTCAATCAGAGGAGGTACTCTCAATGATACAATTATTTAACATGTGATCATACGCCGACCAATCAGATGTTGTAATCACTGTTAAGGTGTACAATAAATTGGTGCACTGAAAAACCTCCTTTGATTTTTGTCATAAAAACTTTAATACTAAATTACAAAATTTTCAGAAGAATTTATATGAAATAATATGTATATTATACACCTTAAAATTTAAAAGTATGGTATTAATCAAATAATTGCTTATTGTCATTAGATGTGTTATGTATGGTATATTTAAATAAGTTACACAAAATCTGATTAAGGATGATCTTTACATTTCATTAATTTTACTAATATTGAGAGACTTAAAATGAAATTACAAGTATGTAAAACCACTTGATATCACGAAACAGTGTTTCAAAGACTGTCACATGTTCAACTTATTATAAAACATATTTTTAGAATCATCTTATGATTTTTGAACACATGATTTATCATACATGATATGTTTGTAATTTAGACATAAGACTCTGGTCCATTATCTGCTTCGATGAAACTTTTCTTAGTGGGTAAGTCTGAGGTAGATGGTGATTTTCGAAGCCCCTGGAAGAGATGTGGGGCCTGAATAAATGAGGGTGGCCCACTTTGTCGATTGTCTCTAGACGTGCGATATGCTTTTGACATATCACGATCAGGATTAAAAAAATGTGATGACACTTTTGAATCTGAGTCAGAATCAGTGTCATAAGTCTGTCGTAATTTCGCGACACTCCAACTCAATTGTGCCTTTTTGGTCATTGCTAAATTGTCTGATGATCCCCTCGATGGGGACTGTTTTAACAAAGATTTACGGGGCATTGTTCTTGAGTCATTTCCAGTTTTATCTGCTTCTGGCAGGTAAAACATTTTTGAGTCATTTTGGCGTTTATATTTATCATTTAAGTCCTGCTGTCTTGAGCTAGAATCACTGTTACTTCTTTGTACACTGACAGAATGAGGCACATTTAGGTTTGAATGAGGTGGAGAATTGCGCGATACTTTCAAAACGGTCGCCCGTGACTTTGAAGCGTCTTTTGGTGTAGCAGATCTAGGGGATTCCTTTTGATGATTTTCTTTATTTTTGACACTGAATAATGCTAGTTTTTTTAAGTTGACTTTTCCCACTTTGTGTAAATGTTCCTGTGAGTCACTTTTACTACGTTTAAGATTTGTACTAAGTTTCCTCTGAGGTCTTTCTTCAATGCTTGGGGTACGTTTTGCTTTATGTCTATTCCTTGGTACCCAAATATCAATAGCCTCATTTATGGAGGTATTTTTATGATGTACATTATCTTTTTCCAGAGTATTATTATTGTCTTTCTCCGGTGAGGATCTGCACCTAATATTGTTTATTTGATTATTGCTGTTGCCTGCTTGGGTATTCCCATGGTTTGATTCAGGGGTTCTATTCTTTGTTATTTGTGAGTTCTGCACAGATTGTTTGTGTGTGGGCTCTACGTGCCTCATTGTATTCTCTTGCTGCTGCTGTTGCATTTGCTGCATCTGTCGCATTGATTGCTCGTACAACTGACTTGCCCGTGCACTGTTCATTTTCTGTCGTATCTTATCTTCCTCCGAAATGCGAAACACTGGAATCTCACTCAGCATCTGTTTGCGCTGTAGAGCCTCTTGATATGTTGGTGGTTTTGCTGGCCGGGCGTAATCCTGGGGGGTCACACTGGAGCGATGACGTTGCACTGGTCTTGTTGGAGTCTGCTCAAATTGCTCTCTCACGGTTGTGTCACTTGCGGATCGCTCAAGAGAGTACTGGTCAGAGTTCAGATGGTGGGGCATAGCCTTTACATTGGGGTTCTGGGCTGATTGGGGTTTCTGAAATTGGGGGTGCTGACCCTGGAAAAACATTGCGCCACGTGACTGAAGTCCTGCCTGGGTGTCGCTGATGCGATTACGCAGCAGTACACTGGGAGGAGGTGAACTTGGGCGGCGACGATAACTCCCATCATTCCTTCTCATGACAACTCTTGTGGGAACAGGTACAGAGACAGGACTGGGGTTGGGTTTAGGAGGCCTTGGTGGAGCATCGTGGCTCTCTGTGTCCATTGGAACAGGGGCTGTGGTGTGAGGACTTGAAGATTCAGGGGGACTAGCTTTAACTGGGGTAACTTCACGGAGAGTGACTTTTACAGGGGTGACATCATGTGATGCAGTTGGCTCAGGTATTGTCATAGATGGAACTTGCTGGATTTGAACCTTTTGGATTTTGACTTGAGGGGTTTGAATTTTAGCTTTAGGGGTTTGTGGGGCCAATGGTTTCTGAGGTAAATCATCGCATTCGACTGAGTCTTCTCTGATTGGGCTAAACATGTGCTGTTGATGCATTTTCACAAGTTCTGGGCTGGCCTCAATCTGCATTGTTAAAGAAGATCTATGGTTAGTGTCCTCCTCCTTCTTTGTTGGAGGCAGGGGGGCTCGTTGCTTAGGCAACTTAACATTTGTCGACCCCATGAGACGTCCTGCTAGTTCTTGTTGTTGCAATTTCTCCCAAGGGTTCTCGCCACTACTTGGGGTAGGGGGCTCAGACATACGACGTTCCAAATCATTTCCTGTTCCTGTTGAATCGAAAGAGTTATCTGACTGGAGACTACTTTGTGAGCTGAACTGTGATGTACGAGACTGTGGTGAAAATGTAGGCATCTCCACTTCATCAGCACTAGGGGTACTCCCTACACCAGAATCACGATCCAATGATCGCGATTTTGTGAATTGAGTAATATCACTGTCATGCAATAAAGTTTCATCCAGGTATAACCGAGCACCACTTGCAGATTTACGCACTGTTCCCATGTCCATATTACGATTTCTCAAATCAGTGAATCGGTATTGCGGGGACTCTGTGTCTTCTGTGACTTGTAGGCTGGCCATTGTTTGGGGATATTTTAATCTCATATGAGGCATCATTTCAGCATGCATTGATTTTGCTCTTGGAGAGTCATTTAATGATGATGTCATACTTGGCAATTGTGATGCACTCATTGTTGTATTCAGTGTTGTACCTGCTGCCCCTGTGGACAAATAATGTTTATGTTCCACTGGGGCGGGGGGCTCTGAGACGCGACGTTTATGTCTCCTAGGGGGAGGCACTGGTGGAGTCGGTCGTTCCATATTGTTCAAACTTTTAGTGAATTCCAAATTTGTTGTGCTCCGTGTAAGTTTAGGCATTCTATGCATACTGTCTATGACATCATCTCCATCTTCGCTGTATAATTGATTGTCACTAAGAGTTAGACCTGAATCTCGACTTAGATTTGACGGAGATAGATGATTTTTTGTCATCCTTGGACTACCCTCCTGTTCGCTGTAGCATATATCACGTTCCAGGAAGCTATCAATCGATGATGTCGTGTCTCTTCCAAAACCTGCAAATACAAATCAAAATAAATCAAATATCAGCAACATTTTGGCAATAATTAAAACTAATGCCAAAGAATTCTTGGTTTTATAAATGTCACTCTGAACTGAACTTGTTCCAAATGTACATAAACCAATCTTTACAAAACTGCATTAATTATTCTAAAAGATTCAGAGATAACATTTTGATTTTATTGTTGTGGTTACTGAAAGAAGTGAATATTATTTTCAATAATGACATCAAACTCAAGACCCAGAGGATAGTAATAATAAATACGCACTGACTTGGATAGACAATTTTGAAAAGGGTACAGTAACAATATCTTACCCTGTGTTTCTTGCATGCTCAATACGCTGTGTATACTGTCAGAGTCTGTGCTTGAATCAGGCTGTGTCTTTTGTAACGGTAGAAGAGGCTCTCCAAATATGGTCAAAACGTCTTTACCGAAAACATCTTCACAATTCTCAATCATAAACTGTATACAAATAGGGACTTTCCCGAGAGCCTCAGTTTGAACTGCAGGACTCTCAGTCATTGGTGCGTACAGCATACTGGGCCCGATGCAAATCGCTAAGTTGTGAGCAGTCATTTGGTTTTCACTTGAGTGTTCATGAATATTGTAAAGTACACTTGTGAAATACTTCAGCAGTTTTTGATTGCATCTTGGTAGCAACTCCAGCATACTGAAAGAAAAAAACAAGAAATGTTAATTTTAACTGTATTTTACATGGATATTGAGCTAAGTACTTGAAAGACAGGGACATTAGGAGATTGGTAAGTTTCTAGCAGAAAGAATATAAGGTATTCAAGTACTCTTTAATTTCTTTGAGATGAAGGAAAAATGAACATTTGATGAAATCTAGGTTATAAGCAATATATTATCTAATGGCCAATTCATAATTTGAGAAAATTTACATTTTCTTATGATCACAACCTATTTGGGCCTAGTGCCACATACTTATGTAACCAGGCTATTTCATATTTTGAATTTCATATTGATCAATCCCCATTTGTTTCCTTGTTCATTTTAACAGGTCCTTTTAATCCTCTTGCATCAACTACTTTTACATCCAGTATTTCAGATATTTATAACCATGTTGTTTGCAAGTCACTTTTGTATATATGCTCTATTGTTTAAACCAGTTTTGTATGTTGTTTCATGCTGTGTTTGTTTTTACTTTTCATTCATGTCTTCATGTTATATTATATAGATCACATTCACTCACTCATGAGTTTGGGTGTTGCCCAGTAAGTCAGTTAGTTAGTCAATTGTTGCAGAGATACATGTATCAGATTTTGAAATAGACTTTTTTAGACATTTTAAATCATAGTTTCTGTTGTATTTTATTCGCCACCCACGGCCTTCCATCGCCCATTTACATTGGTACAAGGAGTGGGGTTGGTGAGCGAAACAGTGGGGTAGGAAGATTACATTGGTTGATGAGCGAAAAAGTGTGGTAGGCAAGGATGTAAAGTTGGGTAGGCACAAATAGTTTATAGCTGACTGACTAAATTTTAGCAACACAAAATGGATTTATCATTCGTGGCCTGTTGGTTTTGTAAAGGAAGAGGCCATCGTAAAAGACAATGCATTTCGTTTATTATGCGAAACTAATGGAATACATCGCACAAAGGATTGTCAATCATCTTTGACTGTAAATTGTAAATCTGTGCATGTACAGACTAAGCCGAAAACGCACAACAAGTACAGCCAAGCAGAATCTGTAAATATGGACATTTATACCAATGCAATTTCCGATTATAAGCGGATCGAAAGCGAACTCTATGGTCAGAGGAAAGGAAACCAGATGTATAAAGAAAAAATTGCAAAATTGGAAGTTGAACGATTGGACGACAAAACTCGGCTGAAAACACAAAGGAAATTGATAAAATCTCTGGAAAACGATATTCGTGAATATAGTGATAAATTATATACCTCGACCAGTGAATCTAGTCTTCTGCAATCTAAACTTCAGGAATCCGTAAAACAAATTTCTGCACTTTCATCACGTTCCAACGAATATTCAGCTATAATTGCGGACATCGAAAATAAACTTAAGGATCGAACGCAAGATTTAGAAACATATACATCAGTGATCCGATCTCAACAAATCAGAGTCGATGACCTTGTCAAATCGTCTACTGGAAATTCCAACTTTTTGGGAGTACTAGGAAATCGTATCTTTCAGAAAACCTCATCACACAATCCATATACCACACTCACCAAGCAACCACTTATCTTTGATGTCTGAGGAACTCTTGAATGCGTCAACTAGCTACTGTGATGATATGACATAACACAATATAACACTGTTGTTGATATAATTCTGTTGAAATGATATTGATAGCTGATATGATAACGATGCTGATGTGATATTGATAGTGATATTATTGACTTTAATTTATCACTATATTCACGAATATCGTTTTCCAGAGATTTTATCAATTTCCTTTGTGTTTTCAGCCGAGTTTTGTCGTCCAATCGTTCAACTTCCAATTTTGCAATTTTTTCTTTATACATCTGGTTTCCTTTCCTCTGACCATAGAGTTCGCTTTCGATCCGCTTATACAAAAATAACACAAGCACGAGACAGACAACAGGATGTGTTTGCTACATTTTCTACTAGGTTAACGTTATAAACACAATCGAAAGCTAAAATTTCATCAAAATAAACAATTGTAATTTCCACTCACAAAAATAGATTCTTGATTCATCTGAACATGAAAACTCTGGTCCAGCAAATTGAACATTTTTTCAAAAATTTTCAACATTATTTTTCTCACCTTTTTACTGCAGTAACCCTGGTCTTGTTATCTTTGATATTGACTGTGTCGACCCATTTACTGTAGAGATCTGACTGCATTATACAATCAGGCATAGTCCTCAAGAACTCCTGAAAAAAGAAATAATGTATTCCTTTCAGAAATATTTTCAAATTATATCATTTTGCACCTTTTATTCTATTTTTGAAATTATTATCAATTTTCATGTACAATAATTATTGTACATTATAACATGGGTATCACCTTATAACGTTATATTCTGAGGTGAAATTTATATGGTTGCTATAGTTACCTTAAAACATGCACCAATGACTAGTGTTGGGATATCATCAAGAGAGACTTCCTCTTGGACGTCAAGCTTTTCACGTAATTCTCGTACTTTTCTCTGATTGGCTCCTTTCCTGAAGATACCATCAGTAGTGGGGCCGACATGATAAAGTTGAAACAGCATATCCTTGAAAATGAAAACAACAAATGTTTAGCTAAGAGGAGGACATTACTACAATTACAAAAAAGGAATTAGAGCTGACGCTCAATAATTTGTCATTTATTAAAAAATTCATTGTTTGTTTTGGTTTGAAATACAAGTCTTACGCAAGAGTAAAATAATGCCGGTGACCAGGGAAAATATGCAATAAATGATCAAAAGTGACGATTTTCATTTTAAAACAAGATTAATATAGCTATTCATCATGGATATGTGTCATGATCGTACATCTAATATTGACAGAAAGATTTAACATGAATAATAAAAATCCCTGTTTACTAGTATTTGTTGACTCAATCCCACAACTTTGGACATTGAATCCAGTGTACAATTCGATCAATATATAGTACATACATCACTGTATGTACATTTAGAGATGAAGTATACATTATATTATGTATTATGACTTGTAATATAACCTATAATTGATAGTACTTGTATTTATCTGTGTGTCTATATTTTCAATGACATCATTTTAGCTTTAGTTTTCCTGAATAACAGGCTATGAGATCATATATTGTTATCTCATAGTGTAAATGTCAATGGCTAATAGAGTTGATCAGTCATGTTCTATAGTCTCCAGGAACACCTTTTAAATACACATGATTCAGGACTCGTATTATACAGTGCTGCAACTCATGTTATAATTAGCTATTAATTAGTAAAGAAATTTGAATCTAATTTTGCCAGTTTATTTCTGAAATCTGTAAAAATCCTGACTTTTTCAACAAGCCATACTTTGAAGAAAAATGGAACTTTTACCTAACATTTGGTAACAATGTATCTTTTGAAGACTAATTTGATTCCATGTATAACAAATTAATAACTTACAATGATTGGTTTTGGAAGACATTCTTCAATGCATACATCTGTCAGCTTATGTTCGAACAATTTCCCTGCAGGTCCTGGAGAAGTAGGCTCGGATTCATCCTTCTTCGATTTAAATAATCGTAAAAAATTTGGTGATTTTCCTTTTTTCTTCGTTCCCCGCTTTCCTCCACTTCCCGAGTCTTCTATAAATAAAGCAAGCCATTCAAGTTTACGTTTTTCCATATTCTGTCTCGAGTTGGAAATGTTGGTCACTTTTATATGAGCCGTGTTTTATATCCTTGATTGGAAGTGCACGATTTGATGACGTTTATGTTGATTTGATGTTTCACAATTACTAAACTTTAATTTCTACTGTACAAAGTTCATTGCAATTATGCATTCCCATCTTGTGAAAGAGGGATACATTTCACTCAATGTAACACAATTTGAATCACTAATGAAATGCTATCATGGCTGTGTAAATAAACACTTATTTGAATTTTGTGAGTATTGAAACATATACACATTACAGGTTACTTTTATTTATAACCTTTGATCCAATTGAAGCTATTACAATCACCTTTTTTTACATTTTCACAAATTCTTTAAATAAGAAATATTCCTTTAATCATATTAAAAGTAGTTTTTTGTAAAAATTGATTCAGTAAAAAACATACCCAGACTTAATTTCATTGGGGCTTTCTTGGCTTTTCGGAGAATAAACTGACATTGTGGCGCCATCTTGTCACTGCTATCAAGATCAGTTGATGACGTCACTTCTTCATTTTTGTTGCCATCGCGCACATGGCTCATCTTAATGGAATATGGGTGTTCATGACCTGAAGAAGAAGAATACATAGTGTCTATGGAAAAAGTTCGTCTTAAAGCAAATCCTTTTCTCCCAGAAACTTTTAAAACACCCATCCTCCTCTTTGGAATCCTTGAATCGAATCTGTTTAGAAATCTTTGCCAAGAATTCAACGTCTTGGCATAAACATATTACTTCACCGGAACAGTCAATTATTCAAATTTTCTGGTGTCGTCACGATCCGGTTCCAGTCAATTATAAGAATGATACTGCCGATTTGTCTGCTAAAGATAGAATACAAATGTTTCTTGAACCTAATGGCTACTTTCCGGTTTCTGTTTTGACGATTTGTGTGCTCAGAATTGATATGACATGTGTTCCTGTGATCCCAATAGCTACTTAGGGTCTTATCAGGGATAGGGGGAGTTAATCACAGCTCTTTAGTAGTTCTTGTTTGTAGATTATACTTGTTCAAATCGAAGTTCTGACGTACTTCAGTACTTAAAGAATTAAATCCTTTGAGTCTATCTACAGATGGCCTTGACTTAATTGAAAGGTTCTTCACTTCTATTCTGAATTGCCTAAAACTGTCTAACTAGTCTTGAAATCTCCTTAACTCTCTCCTTAACTAAACAACTAATCCTCCAATTAACTCTTTCCTTAACTAGTCCTCTCATTAACTCTTTCCCTATATCCTTGATCAATGTGTTCCCGAGCCTTTCTAAGTTGTAAATATTTCACTTTATGGCTGGTCCATCCCCTACTTCCACATTTCAATTAAATTCCATTGAATATCAGAATTCTTGCGAATAATAGCTTCATAGAGCAAATATTGACTATTAGAGGATCTAATGTAAAGAATAAGCACGTAGCTCTATCCCTTATTTACCATAAAAACACAATATGGGAACCTTTCTCACTGGATATCAACCACAAAGGATCACACGATTGAGAAAACAACATCAATGGATTGTTTTTTAATAAATCAAAATATTTTGGGACTTTTATACCTGTAATTTTACAAATAATAACAGAGGAAGTAAAATATGTGGAAATATGGGAAATAATTTATATGCACTAGGTGTAGGATAACCTTGATATGGCTGTAATGCCCCAGAATAAAATATCTACTCTTTACATGTATTCCTTCTAGAAAGCATCAATGAACTTTCGGATAGTTTTACTGTTCTGCCTAATTTTCCCTTCTTCCTGATAAATTTTATCTTTAGTCCCGTATTTTTCCATATTTCAGGGAAAATATGTTCATTCACACAATGCTTTTTCACTCAAGGGTTATTACGACTGCTTAATGTACTTTAACTCTGTGATTCACCTATATTCTGTACCTTTATTTATACAAACCTTTTGACTTTACAGATAAGGTGTCATTTTGTAATGTCATTTACGACTCCTTGAGCTAGAATTTTTCCCCAAAAATTTAACATGTCAGAACGTTACATATTTAATTGTAACTTCAGAATTCTTATGAGGTGATTGTGCAAATTGCAACATCATTTGATTGCTATCAATGACTGATCGAATTATCATGTATATTATATATGCTTGAAAAGATAAGCTTAATAGAGATAAGTGTTTGGCCATCTCAATGTTTAATCAAATATATCAAAATCAACATGGAAGTGTTGGATCTAAGCAGTGTCCAAATAAAGGGTAGCCACTGGTAATTAAAAATATTGATATAAAGTGTGAAAAATAAATATACGCACTTGAAAAAGTGGAAGTCATAAAACTGGCCAGTCCAGTAGATTTACGTCACGGTAAGCACAAAAAATTTCATGGAATTCCAAGAAAGGGGTATAAAATGTCAATGACCAATCATAAATCGTGACACGCACGTTTTGCCTTAACACCTGTTTTGCCTTAAAACAGTCATTGAATAAAACAGAATAAAAAACATCTTAGAAATTTTAATACAAGGCTTTCCAAAGAGCAAATCTATTGAAAAATATTTTTGTTTTCCTTCTAAAGCTTTTTTCAACAAACCACAATTATTGACTTGATTTCTATTTTCAAAAGGCCAATCTTGTCGACCTCTGTCATAACAACCTTAAAGGGTACATACAGTCTATATTTGCTTCAAGATACATGTAAATTCTCACATACACCACTTTGTCACCAGGATATGTAATTTATTTCAATATAATCCATATCATTATCGATTCATACAGCAATACAGCCCTGAATCTGTATGGCATATATAATTTTTTGAAAATTTCAAAAATTGATCACGCACCCAGCCATACAGGATAGAGTGATTATTATGACTTTCACCTTTGAACTTTTGGGCTCTAAAAATAGGCAGACAATGTAAAAATCAAAATCAGAATTGTCACAAAAGTTTCAAAATTCTGCAAAATTAAGAACTAAAATGATATTTTCATTAACTAATTATGAGCGATTTATTAGTTAGACAAGTTGAAAATTCACATAATTCTTCGAAAATTCATTCAATTTTAGATGTTATATGCAAAGCAGTCAGTTACAGATGATTACTTTAAACATAAGAAATAGAAAGAAAATAAGGGGTGAAATTGAAAAATTTGCACTGAAAGTAACTATTGGTATAAGGATAAGTACCATTTCCCCACTTGCTATCACTCCAGGCACAATGATAAAAGAGGCAAGAGCACTATCCACTCTGACGTCATACTGCCCCAGTATAACCCCTAATATGTCAACATGAGCAGATAGATATTACATGGTTGTATCTTTGACTCTGATAATATGATGATACCCCACTTACAACTGATATCAATTTACTTGCATTTCTTTACTGTTCAAAATATTTATTTTATTATCTATTTTCGCATGTTGGTGAGTTGCCGACACGTTATGTGTATTATATTTCCATGTTGCATTATAGTATTGTATGCATTAGTTCTATGAGAGAACAATTTGTTTAAAAAACAGTCCTTCAAAATGAAATAATGTGCTACTTATATCGGAATCTAACCCAGATCTTACAAAACCCTACAAAACTTCAAATACATAATTTGCTGAAAACCCCATTTCATGGAATACACCGACAAGAAATGACACTGCCTAAGGATTGAATTCCAGCTTTAATTTAATTGGCTCAAAGTTCCCAAAAATGTTCACATGCTCAATACTTTTCATTTTAAGTGTTAAATATGAGGTTAGATGTTATCTCCATCAGAAAAATGTGAAGTTTGGAAGTGAAATCATGATGAAAAAGTAACTTTCATCCCTTTACTTCTCAAGGCATATATTACTCATTCAAGATCATTCATTCTTACATTTTTGCTCTAAATTTTAAATGGATCGATCAATTTTAGCACCTTTAAAATTTAACTAATATAATATTCCTCATTTCTTGTATTTTTATCCTTATTTCATCATTTAGGTGAAAACATCAAAATTGTGGTCGTTATTGAATTGCAAGAACTATGCACTCTACGAGATCTTGAAAATGTAAGTGTTCAGTGGTGAGGTTTGGAATTAATAGGACTACATCACCGTTGCTATTTCAGGAGTTATTAATAATGCAAAATGGTACTGATAAAGTATGAGTATGAAATGAGTAATGATTGCACTTTGAGTAAGTATGACTTGAGTGGTTACATGTACTCACATAACTGTCGGGATGGAATCATCAACTTTTGTAAAATAAGTGCAATTAAAGGATAGCTATGCTAAAATAATTTATACATACAACTCCATTAATTTGGTCAAAGAGGATAACATATTTCTAGGAGACATCTCCTTTAGGAGACAATGGGGGTATGGTTGATACCTTGAGTGTCCGTAAAGAAGTACTTATGAAGGCCATTAAAACCAAGGGCTTTATTGAGAGCCTATGATGAAACATAAAACTTGTCAAGAAATCGATGGTGGTTAGAAAAAAACTTTATAAAAACCAAACCACTTGTAAAAATATCAATACTCTAAATTAACTTTCTTCGGTTCTTGTCTTTATTTTGTTTTGACATATTGAAAAGTTTGATAAATGTCTTCCTTTAAATTCAAGAACAGTCCCCTTATGTAGCCTACTTACCAGATCCCATTAGAAACAACGAACCTACACATGCCTGTTGTTTTTCATAATTCACTTTTTTCACCCACTACAAAGTCAAAGTCATGATCAAAGTCAATTATGGCGGGAGCATAGTTGGAATAAATGTGGTTACTCTGGATTGGTGCCTTGTAGATGAGGATGGTCAAAGGAGCCTTTGATATCCCACAATGCAGTTCTGTCTACTCAATGTGTTGAAAAGTGATGAAAAACAGAAGTGATCTGAACAAGGTCTGAATCATGATGGGAAATGAATTCCTCTTGTGTTTAGTGACATTGATATTTTAATGGTTATTTTTTTATCATCTTTGTGGTTAGCTATCTTGTCTGAGTGTGGTAAACTAGCCCATCTAAATTCAATAATGTCACATAATGTTATTTCAGCAATCTTTCTGCAAAACAGCACATGGAGAAACGCTTTTGCCAGTAAATAAAAAGTTTTTTAAATGTATTAGTACTTACTTTGTCTCGAAACTTTGAAAAGCATATTTTCACTCTTCCAAATAGCAGAACATGTTGTATTCCATTAACAAAGTAAAGTTTTCTTGATATTATAAGATCATTTTATTTGTCCAATAAATTGTTTTTGTTCCAGCAAGTGATTATATAGAGCTCTATGCCTTGAATCGTCATTCATTTTGATGGATAGATCATTAGTTAAGATTAATCGATGTAGGATTAAATCTCTGGTAAAAACTATCCAATGATGCAACTGAAATCCCAAAGGTACAATAACGCAGACTCTGGTATCCTATTTACCCAGAAAGTTATCCAAAACTCTTCACAGATTGTTGACTTGCGTACAGTGAGGTATTTACATGAAATATGTGATTAAATGGATTGGTTGTTTTTAGAATGGACCACATCCTAATTCCAAGGTTACTTGTTTAAGTCAAGATAAATAATATAAAAGGAAGAGATTAGACATTTCTGAGAAAATTGAAAGTCTGATATAAAGGTGTCTCCTTTGGGAGAAAATGGGAGCCAAATGTTAATACAAAATAACTTTCATTGTGACATCACTCACCAACCAACAATGAGAAATACATTTTCTGAGAATTTCAGATGACACGAAGCCCCAAAGAGACACAGGATATAAAAGCAATGGAGGGAAACATTCCAGTTGTCAAGAAACTTTCTAGCAATTATTTATGGACTTTGTTACTCTGTGGTAAGATAGGTTCATAGTTAGTGTCACTCCCCAGGCTCATACATGATCCTACCAGTGAAATATTACATGCCATGGAGACCCCATCATTTTATGGTCAACACTTTCCACACAGATTTCCTCACAGAAAGTGCTAAAATCTCTTATATAAAAATTAGATATAGAAACAATTTAATATTGTGGGCTACCCTCTGATTTATATCAATTCAAGGAAGTGTGCAAGATCTTCTTTCAAATTACTACAAGAGGGAAGTTTTGATTGTTTTACCAGAGTTTGGTTCCCATGACAACATATATGATCACTCCCAACAGGTGTTCATATCTCTTAGTTACAGATTGTTCTTACAGTGACACATATCAGAAGTACCTATTTCACTATATTCTATCTGAGCGCAAAAATGCAATCGGCAGTATCATGTAATTTTAAGCAGGAAATGATGAGTATAGATGAATATCTTTTTTAATTCAATTATCTTTTAAAACGTTGCTTTATTATACAAATATATATTGACAAATACATATTTTCTTAAGGAGGGCAGATTAAAATAAATTTTGTTTTTTACATGATATTTTTTACATAATATTTTAAAGTTAAGGTGGACTTACCTATGAGCGGATATGGAGAATCTTCCTTCCCAGATACGACCCATAGTTGATAGTCTTCTGACCCCTCCTGAAAGTTAGTATTACTACACGTTAATATCACCATGGTTATATACTAGTCGTCGTTGGCGATTGCGTTATCAAAGTTCTGGACAGATCATAGCAAAATGTCAGATTGATCTAAGGTTTGCAATGTTGAGTGCTTATAACATTAACTGGACTGTTATTTTAAGTATTCAGCTTTGTTGGAGTTCGTAGAAGGATCATCCATTGATATAAATGTTTGTTTCCCAGTTATGAGTGATCTAATCGTACTGTTTTGTCGGAAGTAACGTTTCTAAAAATGTCCATGTTATCTTCCTACTTATACTTGTGATTAAGACCTACCACACGCAGCAACTATTGATCACTTTTTTCTATTCTGGTATATTGCAATTTTGTTGTTGTAATAATTGCTTCTTCTAAAATAGTTATTACGTGATTTGTAATTTCTAAAACTCATTTAGTGATAATTAATCAGCCATCACAAAACAGGAAGAATTCAACAACAATAAGCCATAGATCATTAGAGCGATAGTATTTTCCTGTTTTTTTCCCAAGCTTTTAATTATGGCATAATTAAATCCCTTCTGAGAGTCCAAATGAGATATCCGTGCTACTAATGTGGCTCCAGAGTCTCTAATTAACTCAGAAGTCGCCAGAATGCAGGAACTAAAAGTTTAGATTATGCAGAGCACGTTGACAAGTTGTGTGAATGTTGTATCTACTGGAGGCAACTGAGATATAAACTTCTTGCTCCTAGCTTGCTTTAGTCCAGAGACATGACATCTGAGCTGCTAAGGGGGCGTATCATGAACCAAGAACTGTTTTTGGGTTATCAATTTTTGAAGTAATTAGTCAATATTCACTGTACAAGTGTCTCTCCAATAACCTATCCTTCAAATTGCCTTTAAAATGAACATCTTGTGAATATGATTAATCCTTTGTTTCTTAATATGACTCAAATCTGACTGATACAAAGACTTAATCAGATAATTTATCACATGGCAATCATGCCTGTAAAACACTTGTGATAAACTACAAAACATTTTTTTATTTTGTGACATGCCCTGAAGTTTCTGTATGTAAACATATTAATTCTGGTATCTGAGGAAGTCAAAGCTATCAATGGCTTATCTGGACAACATGTCATGAGGTCATAGGTCAGAAATGTTATAACCAAATATGGTATAATATAGAAAAAAAAACAGGGAATAATCACCATAAACACAAAGCTAACACTCTAAAGAATACAGAAATTCAAGAATATGAGGAATTTCATTCAAATTTTACAAAAATTGAATGGAAAAGTGAAAAATACCACGAGGATAGCTTATCTCCCCTATCATTACTATGATCACACATAATGTCCAGATACATTTTAAGGTAACATTTAGAGCACTTATATTTTGTGATTCTGTATACTCCTGCAGCAAGCCTGGCAAAGTTAGATTCATTGGTTGATTTTACAATAATGTTTCTTATGTTTTCAATATATCCAAATAATTCTTCAAAAATGAATCGAAATGATATTTATGTTACTGTCAAAGAAAATGTGAAACTATACGAACTCCATCCCCGAGTGCAGAGTCTAGTTCTAAACTAAGACGAAGACGAGCATGACTGTACACTAAACCCTCTTTTGTTTAAAGAATCCAAGCCAAATGATTGCACATTGCAAAAGGCATTAACTTAATATGATGGTTAACCAAGTCTTCTTGACTTAAACATCTTTTAAATCAATTAGAAATGCAGGGCTGTCAACTTGGGACCACCTAATATGAGTGACTTCAAAATGTTGGACACCTAAGTCCAAATCTGAACACTTTTGTCCAAATTTTGAACACCTTTGGCCAACTTTTAAACATCTTTGGCCAAAGTTTGAGCACCTTTGCCAAACTATGATGACTTCTAATTTTTCGCGCTCGCTACGTTCGCGATGTCGTCAACGGGGGGGGGGGGGGGGGGGGGGGGGGGTAGGTACGAAAATTTCCAATGAACATGCGTGACATATACGGGATTCGCGTGACAAATCCGAACAAATTGCGTACGGTTTTTTTTCCGACGCTCGTATTTTTACCGTATCGTACACATATTTCGAAAAACTTTCTACAGAAATATTTTTGCTTGACAATTACCAGGTAAAATGCGTATTTGCGTGACATTTTATGTCACGCAAAAAAAACTGGCGTGACTTCAAATTCTTCAGCAAATGCGTGACAAATACGCAAATTGCGGGACAGTTGACAGGCCTGGAAATGATATCACAAAAAGTTGAATCCTGGGATTCTAACCATATCATGTCTAAGGACTGCAGATAAAGCAACAAGTTATTGTCTTAAGTGGCACTAAATAAGCATTTCACCAGGTGTAGTTCATTTTGAACTGATAAAATTGTTACTGAACACGAAAAAGTACCTTGTGTTCTAGACCCCTGGAAATTGATTAGATATTGCAGCTTCTCGAAATCACATTCTTGTCAGCAAGATTATTTTTTAAATTAATGATTTTAACTGAAATCTTGGCGGAACAATAATTTTGGGATTGACGATTCTAAGACTTGAGAGGTTTCGCCACACAAAGGCAACAAGGCTGTTTACTTAGTTCTATGTTCTGGATGTTTTCAAGAAGTTTCAAGTTCAATGTCTCCAACTCTAATGATTTGCTAGACACCTTGACAACGACTGAGTTGAAATTCGGTGATAATTATACCTTTCTATTCAGTGATAGAAAGTAATACTGGAAACCAGCTGAACACAAACTCCATGAGGAATTGTAGAATTAAAATAAAATATAATGCATCTTAGAGATTTAGAGAAAATGCAGTGAAATGATACATGGGGTGTTAAAATATTTTGGTAATACAGCGCAGATGGCTTACTTGACACACAGTCTCCTTATAGTCGCCTTATACAATGTCAGCCTTTTATGTTAGGTCTTTCATGTTGGGTTCCTGAACATGACATTATACCACCAAAGGGATACTTCTTATATATGCCAAATGCCATGACAAATGCCCAGATATTCAGTGCAATCAAATTAATATTTTGTTGAACGGCTCCAAAACAAAACCTAGGATGAATAAACTTAGTATGTCAATCTCAGATTACAATTCTTGAGGAAAATATACTGAACATTTACACCCTAAAAACACCTCTGGGCACCAAAGGTGTATGTATACATGATTCACTGGTGTAGATATCTGGCTTGATGAAAACCAGGTGCACCATCAAAGACACAATCACTCACATAGAAACACAATCCGAAAATGACACAACCAAGGAATGTCTTAACTCAAAATCAAACCTGGCCAAAAAATGCCCTAAAGATTTGTTTCTGGCTGAAACAGAATGAGAAATATTTGGAACCTGTTGCATTGAAATCAGAAATGAAGACATCATAGTCTTGTTATCTTATATGACATTCAGCCAATATCCAGATTATGAGGAAAATCTTTATGAAGGAACATATCCTTTATGAAGCGAATATGTAGCACCACAGATTGTGCACTTCACATCACAGTAAGAATTTACCAAAAGTGACTGGACAAAATTGATACTTTTATCCCCCAGGTATAAGAAAAGGAATTTATTCAGCTGTTGGAGAGACCTTTTCCCAATGGTCTTACCCAAAAACCAATGCAAATGAATTTCATGTTTTATCATGCAAAATCAGGGATAGTGAATGAAGTCCCCAATGCATAAAGAAAACAGGCTTTCAAGTTGATGTTCAAATAATATTCTGAAGCCCAAAAAAAGTTTATTAATTATTTCAAAGTGAGCATGTGTAAATTAAGCATTCCCAGAATGAAATATTTTGGAAAAGTTCCCTAGCCATTTTTTCACTTGAAAGTGTGCAGTGCCTCAAAGGAGTGTTCAAGTGGGCACTCGAGTGCTCTCATTGACTCCTATGGCGAAGAAACAACACATGAAGTGCTCTAATCTTAGAAAAATATTATGAAATATGGTACACTATATGAGAAAACAAAAGTGCAGATTGGATACCTATGAATGGTTATGAACGAGTAAAATATTGAAATCAATATCACACAATCTTGGTGACTGTTTATAATACAGTGCAGAGACTTGGTACAAAGACAGCTATTCAAGCAAGGACTTGGTGCAATAATTGGGTACAAGCAGATGTAGTGCAAGTTACCATTCCATGATATCATAATATTATGCTAGGGAGGCAAAAGGCAATACCTAAAGGGCATATAGGTCTCCATGTTTTACTACCAAAATAAACAATCTTAAAATTCCACCAGAATCAAGATGACATAACAGGTGAACTTTGGAAAACTTGCAGAGTTTCTAAAACAGGCCTCTGGTTTAAAACAAGGACTCCCCAAACATTAAATCAAAACCTCCTTGATTTACAAATGTGAACCCCAAATAATAGTGATTTGTGGTACAGGAAGATCTAGGGACTGTCTGTGAAATATTTGAGTTCATCACCCCACTATCTTTCCTCTAATGGAAGTTCAATCTAAAGTGGAGTAAAATGAGTTGAACCAAGAAATAAATATAAAAATGCATAAAGACAAGGGGCTCCACACTCTAAAATTACAAGAATATGAGAAAATAGAGCAAACAAAACTATTGATAACATCCAATCAACAGTTCATGATGAACTCTGTTGTCCAGGTACTCAAGAGTAGAGATAGGACAATCACCAATGCATGTCTGTTCCCTGGAACAATCAATACAAGGTAGCATCCAATAAGCTTCATCTTGCTCATGTGATTCCAATCAACCAATCAGATTAAGGAGCAGAACAGAAGGCTGCAACAAACCATTGGGATTATAGTACCAACTGTATGACATCATTATACTTGTATTGCATTCTCACCTATAGTTTATCAAGACACTCTAAAATAACAGGGTACATTTCAGGATATTTTTCTACAAGAGATTGGGGAATGCGGAAAAACAAAATGCCTAAGATGTGGACATTTGGGGACAAGGACGCAATAACCTTTCAAAAATATTAAACCCTAATGTTTAGAATGTGAATATTGGTGTTTGTGACAATGCAGCAATTTTTACATGACATTTTATACATTCAAATTTCAAATTTCAGTTTAATTTCTTTGAAAACTAGCTCCTCTTTGTCTCAATCATTATTGTTTTTGATAAGATATGACCTGGTTGCACAAGGAGAAAGATACTAAATATGACTGAAATGTAATAGTTCTAGAAACAGAATCCGGTTAGTCAGCAGGTGCCACTGTAAACAGGGAACATATGAAACTGTGTTGTTTTAAAATATGTGTGAGAAATCTCCACCAAGTCCTGTAGATCCTGGTCAACTGTGGCAAAAAATGACACATTAATGAAATGCATTACAGACTGTGCTTAAATATCAACACTATGCATGAAAGAATGAAATATGGTAAATGAAATATGCATATGTAAAACTACATGGCAAGTTATATGAATTCATTGTTGTATTTTATTAATGTTTTTGTTGAGTGAAAAAATTGTTAGGTGAAAATATTTTGACAAATGCTCCAGGGTTCAATATGTAGCAGTTTCTGACACATGTTTGACAATTTTGCGGTGAACATCATCATGTTTATGACCTTCAAAATAACTGCACAAATTAGATAAATGTCTGCGCAGATATCAAAACATTTCCTCATGCCAAACTGATCCAGGAGTAGACCCATTTTTCCAGGTTCCCATCAACATTTTCTCTTGGCAGAAGATGAGTCAATGTCTCAAAATTCTAAACATTCTTTGAAAATCAATTAATCACAAATTGGCCTAATTATAAGTTAATGATGACAAATGATCATAGACATTAATGAATACTCCAAAATGACCAAAGTCACTTGTGGGGCAAAATGGAAAACTTTCAAAAAGTCATAAAACTCTGATACACCACTCCAGGGTCCTGTTACCCTTCAACAAGGAAGTCATGCACTTCATGTTGAATAAGTGAAAAATAGACAAACTTGCAGAAAGAAAATTTACAAAGCATGAAGTTGACACTTAATGTATATACATGCCATAAAATAGAACACTTGATTTAGCTATTGGAGACAAAAGTGGTCCTATCATTACAAAAATGTACAGTTTTGGAGGGTACTGCAACAGGTTGGCAGTTAATTATGGGAAAAAACAAAAAACATAATTTGTCATGTTCCTGTTATACTAATCAACTTGAACTATTGTTTACCCTCAAAAACACATCACATGTCATGCTTGAATTACTCATTTTCTTTTTTGTTTTGAATGAAATGCACAGTTTTATGGAATTCCATATGATTTGGAATATTAACTTAGTGTCTCTTCATTTCATTCCTTGTTAATTTTGCTCCTTTTCTCTCTATTTTGCAAAACAAATCATGCTCCATGAGCAGAAAGTGTCAGTTGTTTTGTGGCTTAGAGCCAACTGATATCTGCAGATAACAAAACAACTGTGAAGCAAATTGGTGATAAAGTGTCTGTCCTAAAAATTATCTCACTGATTTTTAATATTGGAGATGAAATCCACTCATGAGAGCTAAAGTTACTAAAAAAGGGAAATTTCATGGTACCACCACCCATAGTACCACAAACCATGGTACCACAAACCATGGTACCACCAAATGGCTCAGAGGACTCTAATTCCAAGAGGCTGTACAGATAACTGATCTATTGAAAGCCCATGCTGATATGTATTTCTTATTAATGTACTTTTCAGTTTTAAAAATGCACTTTTAGTATAGCTATTGTAATAACGCAGATGCGAGTAGGTAGTTACCAGTTTCACCACCAGGTGGCTCGTTCGGGTCAGATAGCCTGGCGGATATAGTAGAAAGTTCTCTTTAACTTAAATTACATCTGTTTTAGTGGTTCAATTTTCATATTACCCTTATGTATCTAATAGTTATGCAAATCAAAATATGTCCAATAAATGAAAATGTTATCTGACCAATACAAGAAAAGATATTTCACTTTTTTCGAATTTGTAACATGGGCTCTATGGAGAATCAACCCGAACTAGAAGTCACACTTTCAAAAAAATTAAATTTTCAAACTTGATAAACAATTTTCAAAACCATATTTTTAGATGTACTTTTACATGTAGATCTCAAATATAACATCGCTTTGACCAAATTTTGAATATTTAATGGCGTAAATCAAGATTTTTTCTACTCGCATCTAGTCTATTGTATAACCTCAGGGACAACAAGGAAGGTGAAATGATTTTTTTGATAAGAACAATGGGCTGATTTCTTTGTTTATTTATTTAATGATAACAAACAGAAGCTGAATGATAAAGACAACAAAACTATCAATTCTTCTTGTTTATTGTTTGTTTGTTTATTTGTTTACGATAAATTGATCGATGTAATAGTAAGTGTAAAAGTGTTGTTAATAACGTGAGAGTGGCGGAGGGTGTGTGAGATTTTTCTCCCTTTATAGTGAATCGGACTCAGCATGGGGCATTATATTATTGTGACATCGTTACTAAGTTCCATATATTATATAAATTAACTGATATTGTATCACAATTCAGATAAATTGAACCCTTGAAGTTGTACTCAAATTGTACTTGATCGAAATCATATTTGAATATTCACCTGTATATGCATTTTTGCATTTTTCAGAAGTGGCTCTTACATAAATGATGTACAGATTAAAGCACAGCACTCTTAAAATGCCCTCAGATAAAGGTTATTCTACATTCAATTAAATGAGGAATTTCCTAACTGACCATATTTCCCGATGCTGGACTTTGGACTGTATGTACAATCCTGGAAGCTTTGATACAACAATTTAAGAAAGTGTCATGAAAATTATCAAATTAACTCTAATCATACGAAGTTATCTAACCAGACAGACCTTATCTAAAACAACATTTTCACAGCAAAACATAAAAATGCTGAAATTGATCATTTAGACCACACCATAACATATTTCCTTCTTAAGGGTGGGCAATATGAGATAAAACAAATCATTAAATATAGTTACCACTTTTACCGAGATAAAACCGATATATGTGTCCGGATTATTAGAATTTACAAGCATTTTGTCTCCATAGGACAATAACAAGCATTTAGTGTCTGTAAAATAGTTTTTCTGAAATTGATTTAGCTTTTGGGGAATTTTTGACCTCACATTGCAAACTTTAGATCACTTTACAAAAGGAGATATTTCACATTTTAAACCAACATGTACATAAAATTGTATTTGTATTTTTTGTATTATTTATATAAATTATAAAAGTTGATAAAATGAAAAATTAATAATACTGCTGAAACTTCAGTTTGAAGAATATTTTTCATGTGCCAAATATTCTTACAGATTCATGAGTCAAAAATCCTTACCTGTATTTCGAAATGTTGCATACAAAGCTTGACGCATTCCCTCGACTCATCTGTATTGCTGACGATAAACGATCGTTGCTGGAAAGACAAAAGGTTGCGGCATGTTAGATTTGTAGACAAATTTGACTCCATATTTTACTGTATCGCAGTAACTGAAAGTATCCCAAATCTTGTATTCATGTTTTGTATTGTCTAGTTGAATGACACAACCAAATATTTTAACCCTTCTAAAAGAATACACCGAAATCACAATTATTAACCATTTCTGAGAGACTTATTAAAACGATAGTTTTTTAATTATTTCAATGTAATTCAATTTATATATTGTTCCTTGCATATTTTCTTCATTATGGTGCAATAGGTGAAATAAATCAAAAAAGCATGACATTTTTGCAGAGGTTGATTGTATCTTACCCAGTAACTAATTTCATTTGTTGTATAATATTGTCAAGGTGATGATTAGCCAAAGGCTGTCATTTACATTAGGCATGCACAAAAGTTATTATACTATCTCTTGTTAATTGAATTGACGTCACAAAATCTGCTCACATATTTCCAATTGTCAAATCTGTATTGATCGTCCAATGTCAATGCCATGCAAGTTCAAGACAGTTTATATTAAAATCCATGTTATTTGATACATTTCGTAATTGCCTTATATGTACTTGGGATATCATATTTGGCATAATTCCATTAAGGTTACAAAGAATGTTGTATGATTGAATAACTAAAGGATGAAAATAAGGAGTAGTTCTGCGTGAAGTGTTTATTAAACTTATACAAGGGTAAAGATCATCTGAGCAGTTTGTCAAAATATTTAAAATCTTAAGTAAAATTTTGATAATTTTTCAACATTGCATAAAGTTAACAACTATTTTCTTGAATTTCTGTATAATTCAGAGTTTATTTACTTCATTTATTGTTAATCAGCCTGCTCTCTCTTATATTTTGCAGGAGAAAGCATTACCTTTTTAAGTTTTGCTTGAGGGACAAAAATCCAAAATCTGGGCCTAGTATATATACCTATTGGATTATAAATACATGGACCACTCCATAATCATATGACTCTACTAAATCCGTTAACCTGAACCCCTGAGCATGTTTTAAAATGCCAATATCAAGTGTTTTAAACCTGCGGCCAAACATTTATACCTTCACTGTGGCATTTTCTGGAATTGGGGCAATAACATATTGGAACAAACTTAACTGATCTCGAAAACTAAACTTACTTATTTCTTATACTGTTGATCTACCGTGTTATTGGTAAACAGTCAAACTTTGATTTAAACATAATCCTCTTCAAAGTTTATCAAACAAAAAATTTTGATTAAAAATATGAATGAGTTTTGATGGGATGATATGTTACAAGTTGCCATCTATGTAGACATAAACCATGAACATGAGGGTCAAGAACGTACCTAAAAATGAAACATCCTGCGTTGTAATAATAAAACCATATAATTCAATAAAAAATTTAGAATTAACCAACAGTACGATGCATCTGCATCATAAAGTATCAGAATACAAGAAAACTGGAGACCATTGCATTCAGCTTTAGAGAGAAAATCATGAAATGGGCATGAAAAATCTGGAGGTATAGCGAAGAATGCAGTGATCTTGGCACGATGACATGAACAATGATAGATTCAGCAGCAAGTGCGTCATCCTCGTGTACCAGGTCACCTCACAGCAGAGGGCACAAAATATTTCACTCTCTTCAGAGAAATTTTACTCCTCTTCTTTACAATATATCGTAAAGCATAAGTGCATTTCTGCCACATTTTTATATATTTTATGGAGCAGTGTTAAGGTTAACCTCATGTCTTTTCCCAATTGATCTTTTCACCCCTTTTCACCTCAAATGGGCATACCAATACATAAACAAGTACCAAGACAATATTTCGAAGGGTTGAGACTACAGTATACAATCCAACCCTAGATACAAGTAGATCATCATGTATATCTATCAATGCCAAATATCAATTAGGCAAAAAGGCAGTCTGCCATTATCATATCCCATGTATTTATTTTATTACAACACCCCCTTTACAGAAAATCCACTTATTGAACTTGTGATGGGCCCAATTACGTCATCAAAGATTTCACTCAAAAGAATCATAAGCTACAATTGTGTTTTATTGCCCTATCTTTAACTTAAGAGTCCCATATATTTGAAGATGAGTTATGGCCCACTTAGAAAAGTTTATCTATTTAATTATCTTTTTGGGTGCAATAACCTATCTTGGATATAATGTAAAATACAATGCTAAAGTACACGGATGTAAAATTCATCCGGCTAAAAAAATATACCGATATTCATACGATATTCATAACTTCGTAAAGACATATACCTAATTCAAATTCAAAGCAGGTCTTGCCCGGGATTTATTCATTAGGAATTTTTCTCAATATCCATATATAAATTTCAATTTATGTATTTACTTTTTCACCACGACTGACACACAAAAGCCAAATGTGGTCTTTTTGGTTCATATGTGAATAAAATATTGGACTTTGGAATTTGGTCAAGTAGTTTTTTAAATTAATGAATGAGAATTTTGTCTTATCAATAAAGATCAAGTCGAGATGAACTTTCTATTGACTCACATCCTGCCAGGTTCGATTATTTCTTGGTTCTATTCATTTTTGAGGTGAGAAAGGTCAGAGGTGATTTACACGCCTTACTTATTCATAATTAAATTCTTGTCTGGCAGAGAGGCTAATTACAACACAATGTGTACAATGTGCCATGTTAAGATAACCTGAATAAATATTTTTGAATCGTAACATTCTTTAATGTGGAGAACAGAAAGAATGAAAAATGATGGATTAACACATCAGTAAAAATAGAATCATACTCAATTGTGCAAACAAAGGACAAACAAAAAATCATTTGAAGAAAATAAGAAAAATATCCAGGATTGGGAGCGCAGTAAGAACTATCGAGACAAGTGGTTGCGAATTACAGAGGTTAATTTGATCGTTTTCTCCTTTTTGTGATAAGATGAAGGTTAACGCTGTTTTCATTAGCAATTACATAGCCCCTTGTTGAACTTGAGATTTTTTATGAAGCACTGAGCATTAAACTCTGATAAGATAGATCAAAACCTAAACCAAGTATTTAAAAATACCTTCAACATCACACAAACCAAACTTAGCCCTGACCTTTTCTAAATAGCAACTTTTAAGATATACAATAACTTTGAGAGTTTTCCGTTTTTATGTGTATTTAAGAAGTTTTAAGAGTTTGTAATCCGTGATAGTGATGTCCCTATGGTATACATTGGTTAAGTAAAGTTGTCATAAATCTGTATATTTAGTTTTTATGATTTAAAGTCCCGCAAATATTTGAGAGAAGACATTTACACATTGAGGTACTAGAATCATTTGTTCAGAAAGCAATTGCTAAAAAATTTTGAATGGAAATATATGACATTTCAAAGGTGATGTTAAATAAACTTCAAGATTTAAGTTTTATGTTTGAAAATACATCTTACAAGACCATTAAAATACAAACATGTATAGTTTTTTTGAAATGTACTCTAACATTGAGAAAAAGAGTTAATTTAAAGAACAGTTAAAATAATGAAGTAAAAAGGTAGTTTGGCAAAAGTCCAGAAAAGTACAATGTGTTTAAAAACATCTATCAATTTAATGTTGACAGATGCTTTTGATGAATAAAAATTGAGATATATTTCATCTTTCTAAAATTCAACTTTTTGACACCATTAGAAAGGTGGAGAGAAAAAATGAGCGATCTCATAAAAAGAGGGACTCAGGTATATAAAAAATGTCGACCTTGATCATGAATTATTCAACTGCAACTACTTCAAAAAATTGAGTTTTTAGTGTTGTTCGAGTATTCAGCAAATACACATGCGTGTACAAATATACATGGGCATCTCAATCCATATATATATAGACATTTTGCTTGTATGCACCCAATGGCGCTGAGTAATTCATCAGACAAAATTTTTTTCTTTCTTCGCTTCATGATATTTTGAGTAAATTATATGGAGTACATGAAAATTTCTATTGAAAACTCAATCACATACCAGTATACTTTTTAAAGATGGCGCTAGTATTTTCAAAAGAAATAATCCCATAATTCTCTCAAGACTTACCGAGGGGAACGTGTCCATATCTTTATTGAGCACCTTCAGTGTGATGGTCTTTGGTTCCTCTTTTGCCTTCTCATCAGCAATTTGTCTGTAAACACAAATATTCATGTCAATGACAGTATACAGCTTCACAAGGTCTCAGTTCACTTGTCCAAAGCTGGGTTTAGATTCAGTCTTTTCTCAGTGGCTTGACTTACAGAAAACAAAATTCATTTCTAGATACAATTATGTACAAAATGTCAATATGAAATAATATGTATGCATCAATTAAAAAATTATAACTGGGAAACTTTTTACATAGTATTTTTGCACAGTATTTAAAAATAAGCGCTGACTCATATTACAAATGTGTACTATATTGTGAAGGGGTACATAAAAATATTCTCTAATTCATATCATCAAAAAATTCCTCAGTAAAATAATGAGTTTGTCGTGACACATATGTCAATGCTGCGACAGTAAAATATCATCCAGGAAATATACGTATAAATACATAAGAAATGTATGAGCTCATATTATACAATTATACAGACATTTTGCATTTATCTGTGTGGTGTCATAATTTCTAACAGTTTAGAATCTATGAAGGAAAATAATCTAAACTGTTGATAAATGATGCTAACATATTTGACCCGAAAGAAGCATTATTTACGCCATTATCACTTTTTATTATCTTTATCACTGGCACTGTTAAACTGAGGTGCATCCTAAAGATAACAATAACATACTAGCTAGTCAATGAAAAATGAATTTCTTGTTTGTATTTTCTCATTGAACTTTTGACTGTAATAAATCTTGGACCACTTACAACAATCAAACAAAAATGTATAATGCATGTACAAAATTGTTAAATCTGGAAAACAACAAATATGTATATGAAACAGACATTGACTTTAGACATCCCAAATGTTGATTTCATTCATAAGTTGGTCCTCTACACTGGCGGATTAGGGGGGGGGGCCCAGGGGCCCGGGCCCCCCCCCCTTGGGTGGGCCCAGAAAAAAAAAATTGGGCCCAAAAAAAATTTTTGGGCCAAACAAGGCCTTCAGGCCCCAAAAAGTGGGCCTTTTTGGTCATTACTGGGCCTTTTAAGGCCTTATTTGTTAATTTCAGGCCGAATTTTGAAGAAAATGGGCCTCAAAATTTCAACATTTGGGCCCACTTTTGGATTTTAGGGGCCCAAAATTTTTTTTCGCGCAAGCGCGGACGTTTTTTTCTCTGACCTGAAATTTGGGCCCCCCCCCTTGTTGGTTCCTGGATCCGCCCCTGCTCTACACATTGTATATGTTTACTTTTATGGAGAGAACAAAATGGCCATTTTACTCTAATCTCAGACATAGACTGATAACAAGATAAGTATCAGTTACAGACTACATGCTGATGAACATTTACTTTCACTTTTGGTGTCTTCACATTTTGGGCTACACATCACTATAGCTTGATAAAATTCATAAATAATGAAAAAGTTTCATGATTTTATTTCTTCCAATTATACGAACACAATCATCATCAAATAAATAAATTGGAAAATCAAACTTCAAAATGAAACTTACCATTAATCAGCATTTAGTATTAAGATAATATAAAATAACGTCTCTGGTGGCAATTTTTTTGCAAACCAATGAGAATGCTCAATCGTTCCAGATAAGATCCTCATCGAAAGAAAGCAGGACTTTTTGAGTTAAAAACAAATTTGTTGTCAATAATTTCTTCTTCATGGGTACTTTGAGTTGAATTTCATTTGAACTGATTCGGTTGTTCATATTCATATTTGCACTCACTTTGGCATGCAAATCCTTCAACATTATTTACCTGCACCAAGGGGCAGAATTATAAAACAGAAGTCAAGTAAAAAATACACAAAGTTTTAATTTTGATTCGATAAGTGGTATTTAAGCTGCTGAAGTTTGCTTGTTTTATACTGGATTACCCTCAAGTTTTCATAGTCCGTAAAAATGCATTAAACATTCAAGTATTTGATATCTATAAATATTGGTTATTTATAGTTTTTCATGACGGATCTATCAAATTGAACATAAGGAATGACCCGGGTCTCCCTCTTGACCTATATTATTATTGACCAGGATAACAAAATGACCGTAAATCAGATGTACACAATTGACTTCTTTCCGTCAAAATATGAATAATTGTTCTGATTGATGTGACTTAATTATTAAAAGTGAGTGTTGTGTTGAAACAGGTGTTAAGGTTGGAGAAATATAATGACATATTAGTCAACATTCAGCAGTCAGGACCAAATATCACCTAACTGTATACCTTAAAAGAAGTTGGATTTCAGTAGTTTCTTGAAAAAATGCAGCATTGATGTTCAATATTTTTCGAAAAGCTAAATTTTTTTTATTGGATTTCTAGCTTATTGTTGGAGATACAAACTTATCAATAAATATACATAAAAAACGTACTGTTTAAGTTTATTTTCCCAGGTTTCTTTGAGCTCTGGTGTCGAGAATGTCGCCACGACGTTTGTTGTTGGCCAGCCAATCACAAAGGACTTATCATGTGTCTTGTGGGATTCGCAAACTTCGTCAAGGCAAGACGCTGTCCACATTTCACGTACTCGAATCCTATGTTTTAGTTTAAACGCTGTACTGGATCTGCAAACACAACAACACCAATATGAAATAAAACATTCTCTCCTCTCTTTATATCACCAAATTCAGGAGAAATTCTTTAAATTAATGTTCCTAATTATCGAGAAATACCAGGAATCGTTTGGATTTTCTGTAACAAACGAAGCAGTCAAAACATAGTGACTTCATTTAGTAAAATGCATCAGTAAATTACATAGGCATTAATTCACTCGAATGATTGTTTTAATCAGTTTGGAATATGCAACATCACAACTTTTTGACCAAAGTTATGTCCTAGTCTTGCCACTGCGTTTTAGATATTCAAATATGTTTGGCACCAAGGCATGTTTGTTAGATGATCACATTGTGGTTTTATGTTTTGATTCGATGTCTCTTACATACAGTTCAGAAAAAGTTCAACTGCATGAGCTTCTGTAGGAACATTACTATAGACTAATATGATCACTATATACATTTCTTTGGTACTGAACCATACATTTCACATTTTTATTTTTTGTATTTCATTGATAAAATATGAAAACTGATCAAAAAATGAAGTATCTTTTTATAAGGTTATAACAATGACGTACAGATGACATCATCATCATTATATGGCTAGACATCCCAATTAGTTATTCATTATAATCAATTGAAATTACAGTATTACAATTAAGTATTATACTTTTTGAAATGTTGTTGTCTACTGATTCCCAGTCTGGTATATCCAATAACCAAAATTATGACTTTTAAAACTTAAATTGACGAAAACATAAAGATTAGAAACTTGCCCGAAACCAAATTATATAACTCGTCAACCCAATTTCTTTGAACTTTAAGAAACCAAGACGAATTGATATAATTTTAATGGATATTTCACGGTCAAATACCCATAATCCTTTGTTTTCATCAACTTCAAGAATTTTACCTCAGGTATTTGAAACACAGACTTGTATACTACTTTTAGGCAACAAACCAAAATAAATACATTTCTGACAAATAATATTTCTATTACGCATATGTAAAGCTTCGATTTCGGCATTTTCCACACCTTTATTATTTCATTGCGGTCTTTGTTGTAGGTATTGCTTTATAACTTTACCTTGTTTGAACCTCTGTAAGTGGATTGTACAATGATAAACTAATGTGTCTATTGTATTTAAGGTCTAATTAAATCCTTAGGACAACGTGTTCTCATCCTCTTATTCTCCTAATTGATACATATCTTTATTTACTTGCATAATCTTAAGAAGTTCTAACACATGTGCGATTCAAACTTTCATTTGTAATTCAAAGCTACCTGCTGCGTACCTTAATTAATGAGATAAATGTAGATTGACATAATTCAGGTCTCGGTAAACAGATAAACATTGGGACAAGGCTCCAAATTAAACGGAACAACTTCTCGCTGATAAATTGTTCCTGAGAGGGAGCCACTTGTCCTGTAGTTATAAAATGCCACATCAAGAACTTTTTTTATTGTAAATTTAAGTTTATCTAATAAAGCTTGCCTATTTGGACAGAATTTTACATGAAGCTTAAATATACTTACCTGTTTAGATAGAACATACTGGTTCAAATAAAGTATTCATCTTATTTTCTCACAGGTCCTTATTTTTTGCCGTACCATATGTCATATTTGTGATGCTGTTCCTATTTTATGAATGCTCACCCTTGTTTATTTCTTAATTATTTGCTAGATTCTTAAGAATAATTGACCCACAAATGATTACCTTAAGTTTTACTTTGTTAAGGTGATGATAATTCGGCTAAATAGTCGATAAAATAAACTTTTTTACAATTTATAATTGTATATGTTAAATTTTGCTCAATTCAAATCTGCCATTTTTTATGTTTTGCAGTTTTTCAATAAAATATAATAATTCTATGATTGAATTAACTTTCATACAGCCCATAATTGGCAAAATATTGGTGTTACAAGCATCCCCATGTAAGTGGCATTATATGAACAAAATAATAAAGAAAATATTCAAAAATGATTTGAATAGCAATGGTTCGATTTTATATGCCATGGTTGTGAAACAATAAGCCAAGACCTTGAACTTAATATATTAAAAGAAAGCATGAATAAAAAATATACCCCTACTGAGTAGAGGGTTTAAAAAGGACAAATATCCAAATTCATATAACACATCAACCAGAGGGGTTGTTATTCTTTCCAAATATAGATATTATTTTGCAATAAGTTGGCAAGTTTTTAGAATTATATGCAAAATAAATAGTCTAAATGCCAATGATATAAAAAAAAGACATTTTAACAGTGTATATGTATTATAAAAACATATACCATGAAAACAGTTTTAACAAAGCCTTAAATATATGTTTTATCTATCAGTTCCTATACTTAAATGACTTAATAAAATATTAAAACATACCTAAATCTTTAAAAACTTATTTCCCAAGTGAATTTCATAAATCCAAGTAAGTTATACATTCATCCATAATAATTAAATAACCTTCTCTACCTTCCTTTAGCATACCTTGGCAAGATGTAATCCATCAGAATTTGATATTTCAACACAGGTTTTCTAAATCAATCAAATCTGTTGGTCATTATTATCAGAAGTCTGTTTTGTTTATATTATCTTAATTACACTTAGATTACATGTAGATCAAAGCCTGCTAACGATACCAAGGTACGTTAACAGTTCTAAGATGGTAGTTTATCGTAAGTAACCAATACCTCATGTCTTGGGGATCATAATGCAAAAGTGTTTACATTTTTATGTCTTCATCATACTATTATAGACTTTATTGGAGTTATAATCTGAGATAATAAAATGAGTTAATTTCGAGAATATCATACCTTTATCTGTGCTATAATGAGTAGAATAATGATATTATATTAGGGGATGATATTCCTTTAACTTAAATGTACAAGACAATATGTGAGACACTCTGCTGTGTTGTAAACCAAAAGGCCTAAATTGCCCAAATCTGTGCTAAAATTACCTCAGATATGAATGATAGTCTACAGGTGCATTTCATATTTCAATTATCGCTCATCCAAGAATTCCCCCTGTTCAACTGGATTAGAGTTGGTTTAAATCCAAAATTGGAGAAATCAGAATTCCTGTCTAAGTCCAAGGAAGAATGTTACGTTACATACATGTATATCCATTTCACCTTTTACATATTTTCTCGCTGCAATATTGAGATAATTTCTAAAATTTGATCACTCAACTTTTGCACTTAATGGTGTACACTCACTTTTAAATGACCAAGCTTTTTATTTTCGTGCAGTAGGAAACTGACTGATCAACTGCTTCTGTATATAGTGAGCCCCCTTTTCACGATCTTTACAACTTATCACTCCAAAATATTGACATGAAGTAAGGACAGTTCAAAATTCACAAAGATGTGTATCAATATCCCAGTTCAAACACAATGTTTGCACAATGGAGAAAGTGTATCAAAATGTAATTTATATGATCCCATGTAAAACACTCCATCTTGTCCCTAAATGTTACTTTTGCAGATATAGGGCTGATAAATATTTATATGCAAATGTTTCAATTATTTGGAGTTTTCTTTTTGTGAAAGACATGATCCATTTGTTTGTATGATCGCTTTTTGGTCTAAAAGAACAATTTCACTAGGATATATATTTTTTAACCCTCACCAACAAATTATCTCTAAGATTCATATTTTATTGTACACCAAATAAAGAGGAATGGTTGAGTAACAATAGGAAAAAGACATGTTTTAGTCTACAAATTGTATATAGTCCCCTAAAAAGGACATTGAGCAAAACAATTAAATCGCAAGAAACCCCTGGTTAAATCACTGTTTGAAAAAATAATACAACACGTACATGAAAATCATAACAAATCTGAATTATTTTGGCTCGGCTGGACAATAGACTCAAAGACGTTTGCGTGTCTGTTCTATATTCTAAGGTGAAACTATTGCATCAGGTTGAGACTACCAAATATACAAACTCATACACCAAATACAAAATAAGTTCATATACTGCATTTGCAATTGTATACCCTCGAAAGAAACCTGATACTGTATATCTTATAGTGATCAATTCACAAATTGTGAGAATTGGGGCATTTCATGAGATACGTCATAAACGATGTGTTTGAAGAACATGATCAAAAATCAACAAGAGGCTATAAGAATAGAAAGAAATGTGTGAACTTGTGAAACGAGTGTGTATACAATAAATGTTGTATACACTCGCAATGTTTGACCAGTTCAAAATTGAAAGCAACTTATTCCTAATACTACCATTGACCTTGACATTGGATTACTGACCAATAGTGAATTTGTACATTTTTAACATTTCCTGTTAGTTCACTATTTGAAACAAATCCCAGAAACCAAATATTAAACTGAATCATATAATATTTTCCAGACATATAAAATCTAATGCAACTGGTACAAAAATCGCCAATAATGACCAAGTCAACATTTTTCTATGGAAAAATACAAGGTAATCAATAATCATGAAGAAATCAAAAAATACAGAATTCAATCAAAATTACCATGAAAACTGGCCATCATTTCAATATTACAACTCACAGTACGACTAGATAAAAAATGATTGGAATGACCCAGTGCAACATGACTTTTGACTTCAGGGTACAACAACTATGCTTTATGAATATGGATGAGCAATGAGCAGTAAAAGTTAACATATTGTAATTGGTATAATTGCCAAACACTCCATTATCACTATGCTTTAGCATCATCAACAGTGTAATTAGTCCCCAGGTGTAATTAGTCCCTGCTAACATGTACAAACTGTATATTGACTTGTATATTTTAAATATATAATTATACATGACAGGTGACAAAGTACTAGATCTAAGGTCAACTCCTATTGCAAACAATAACTCATCCCATGTTCCCCTCCCCCTCCCCCTGCAGAACACTTATATCTGTTAATTAAATTTTCATATTTAACATGGATTTTTTCTCTCAAAGACCTACATGTTAATATCATAGTGTAATGCTCCAAGTCTTTCTGCTTTCCTAGCCAGACGTCTATCTTCTTCTTTTTAACAATGAACTTGGATTACCCCACATATATATAAAAATGGACTTACTTTTGTTTTGCGATAAGTAGCAGGTCATTGAAAAGAAAGAGGTAGCGTTCCTGCGTCTGCAGACCCTGAAATTACAAAAATAATAATGTTAATCATTGTGCAATTAATCAATTAGATTGGTCGCAGGTGAAGTTAAGGATGTCTTATTTGAGGTTAGATGGTCAATTTAAAAGTATGTCACCCCTTCTAGGACAAGGTCCCTAACTTCATCTGTTGAAAATGTTCCCGGGAGACTGTATTTCTATGAGATTAGTAAACAAATAGAGCCTCCAATTATAGGATTTTGCTTATTTGTATTTGTATGCTCCCAAAGTTGTTACTTTGCATATGTTATTAATTAATCAATTAAACGCAAAAATAAACACTTGATTATATACTTTTGTTTGGGAACCAAACAACTAATTACAGTTGATTTCATTCAAACAAATAATAACAATCTAGCGCCAGTCAAAGAGTCTATTCTGACAAACATGAAAAATAATACAACAAACAAACAAACAAATATACATAAACAAACAAACACACATACATACAGTAAACTAGTAATTATTTCACTTGACCATTCATGGAAAACACAAACTTAAACATTTATTCATATCATGACAAATAAAATCAAACAAATGTTCATTCTGCCCATCTCTCACTGTGAATCTTATCCAGAGGGGCAGAGATGGAGAAGGTGTAGCTTACCACAATGACAAATGCCTGTCTGATTGTGCAACATAAATGATGAAATGCCATCTTCATCTTGCTTACATCATTCAAATCCTAATGATGCCCAAAATCTCATGTGAAAAATAGCAAACTTCAAATGCAATCTAAAGATACTGATAAGACATGGAAGATGGATACAATATCTTGAGTTGTCATGGTTACCAGATAAAAGTTGTGTAATATATGGGAGATAGGTTGATAGTCAGCCAGCAGTACCACTGGAGTTGAACCTGATACCAGCCAAGATGGGTTAGAGACATCAGGAAATAACCTTCAATGCAATGCTAGGTTTGCTCCCAAATGTTCCAGATAAACTGAAAAACGTGACAATATGATTCAAAATGTGATCATGGAAAATGACCTTTACAAAAATACTAAACAGGAGAGTAGTAATAATGAGCTGTATATCACAGTTGAGTGATAACAGAGTCAACTGTTGTATGTCACAAAATGAGCTTATAGCCAACACATGCAATCTATCTGAGCATCCAAGTGACACTAATCTACATCAATATTATGACAGTCTTGATTAACCAGACACTCATGGCTTCTATTCTTGACCATGATGAGACTAATCCGAATGCATCCACTCCTACTACTCCCAAAGAGGAGAGACCTGACCTATCACTACCTGTCCATGCAACAGATAAGACAATTAACAAGGGTGGTCTGATTTCTTTGTTTTCGAAAATCCAAATTTTTCTTTGAAAAGGGACATGCTTTATGAAAATTTGAACCTATTTTCCATAGCACACTTTTTTCAAAAAGGTCCTTATTTGGACCTACTTAAAGTTCTCGCTGCAACTTTACTTTTCATGGTAAAACCAAAAGAGGGCATAATGCTGATAACTAGGAAATGTTACCTCATATCCAAATATACAGCTTAATATGTAAAATGTTAATGGTACAATTATATTAATTATGACCTTATCTTCATTATTATTACTACTGTATGTGTATATCACACTGCAGTAGTTAAGAGGTGATCATAATAGTACCTGTATTTATAACACTATTCACATTTTAGGGTACCCTTTTCAAGAAGTTCAAATATAATTACGATGCTCTGAGCCATGGGATAATTTGAGGGTACATGTGCCATGACTTATAATCAGAGAAACAAACCACCAGGAATGAAAAATGGTATCTTAAATTTCTAGACTCTACCCCCAGCCCATCTCAATCTGTACCCCCCTCAGTTTTACTTACACAGGACTGTACAAAAACACAACTGTATCCAATGACGTGCCCAGTACCAACACAATCTGGGATCCAAGTTGTGCCATCATCGATGATTATCGTACTTTGCCGATCAAACTGTTGCGGAATCCACGCTGTAACAGGATTCATCTTGGAATATTTAGTGCTCTATCCTATTCATATTTCCTAAATATTTAACTGAGTTAATCCATCCCAGTTGCTGCTTTATATCAGCAATATAGTGTTAAATCCAAACCAGGATTTGACATATAGAGAATGTGTATATATTTAACATCCACACACTATACTATGTTTAACATCCAACCCTCATGTATGTACTTATATTAAATCTCCAACATTAGATATGATAGTACTCGTACTGTGATCCATGTGTTCACCTGTTACTTCCAGATTCTCAGGATGTTTATGTTAATAAATAAAAACACTGTTGGCCTGTAGGCTGTTTTATTACTGTCCAGTTAAAATTCTAACTACAAGGCTGTCTTGGGTTACGTTACTGTCCAGTTAGAACTTTAGCTCCTGGTGTAATCTACTGGAAATATTGTCTAAAAGGCTGGGGTTTTCTGCTTTGAGATTTCAGTGTTGAATGTCCAAACACAGCTTTATCCTGTGAAGTAATTCTACAAACAAATCGAGAGTTTGTTTAACTTCTCCTCTGTTAGAATCTATAAAATTTCAACACTTGTAGATCTTTAGTGCTAGTAGAGTAGGCAAAGTCCATTCATAAATCTCAACACTTAAGCATTCAGTTTGATTCATAAAAAGACATTCAGATGAATCAATTTTTACTGTACATCAAAAACCACTCAGTCATTCAGTTAAAGTGGCCTAATAAAGCCAGTGTATAATTTCCAAGGCTCTATCTGACTGAGCATTTCAGTCATTTGGATGTAATGCTTCTCAGTTGATTCACAATTTTCAACAGTGAGTTTAACTTGCTAGCAATTTACAGTACAAGCCTCAGGACAGAAGCGAGAAAAAACAATTAAAGTGTCCAGTTTCAATGTCATCATCCGGGATGAGCACAATATAATTATATAGTCATACGCTGCAAATTTCTAAAATGTCCAACAACTTTTTTTTTAGTCCAAACACTGATTTCAACTAGAATTTCCAATATTCTTCCTTCATTATTATGATCATTTGGATTATTAAATTGACATTTAATAATGTAGTCAAAAACAGACGTTACCTTTTCATACAATTATAATTCCTTGATCATCTGTCCTTTAATTTTTTCCGACTGTGAAATTTTTCATCAATACTTGTTAGAAACAAACTCCGTCCTCAGCTTTGGATTATAATGTATATTTTTCACTATTCATATTTTAAACCCCAAAGTTAATAATGACATATACTAGCTGACAAGTGGGCTAATGTTTGTTTTATGTTAATCCACTTATGGACTGGCATCCAAACTGAAGGACAATTTGAACTTAATACACAAATGTACACACATATAAAGTCTGGTAATTAGTGGCTAACTTTGGTCAAATTGTTAATTAGAAAGAAAACAATCACAAACTTAATGATTCCAAAATTGTGATCAGAATGGCATCTTGTGATTGTTGCTATGGTATTATAACTTCTTATTACCTTGTATTGTTTTTATTAGTTCTTATTACATACCTAATAACAATCTTTTGACATTTTGTTTGATATTTATCTAGTTTTGATATGACATGATATACTTGGCTGTCCCAATTACTGACGTCTGTGGGTTTATCCTTCAAATGTAGGCCTTATCTTCAACTCCTTCCACCAAACTCTTCTTCTGATTTTGTGTGTACTTTTACCTGTTGGTTTATTCTAAAATTCCTCAGTTTGAAATACAAATCAGGAAACAATTGTTTATATTAATCCTGTACATTTGTTGGCAAGCAATGATTTAAATCTTTACAACTGTTGTGACTCAATATTTTGCCGATTATGTATCCATTACAAGATTATTCTTTGATCGTTTTGTCCTGTGAGTCTCCGTTCCATAGCAGTAATGTCTTTATAACTTTCTTTGTGTGTCCATTCTCTTCTCATTAAGTTTAACGGCACTTCATCAAGATTTGACCTCTGCGGTGGCTTTTCCGGGGGTCAGGTATGTTGAATGTATTTATCCTTTAGGGTATCAATCTACCAATATATAGGTCACATGCTTTCTGATATCATAAATTACAGAACCAGTATATATCCCAACCAAAAACCTGTGTTGATGCTTTCCGATTACCAGTTTACTTCAAAATACAACGCCACATTATACACGTTTCTAAGCGAGACATGGGATCTGATGCCAAAATATTACTCGCGATTATGCATGTACATGTTTATATGCCATGTATACATAAAGTCTATGGTAATCTTTTTCTAATGTTGGGTTGCAGTATTAGCATTGACAATGAATGAATCAACTAAACGTTAAATGTTAAGTTAAACTTCCTTTTTCATTTGACCGTGGCTAATACCTTACTCTCAAATGTAATTGAGTGAGAAAAATCTAATTTCAGGGCCAGGTTTGTATACATATGGGCCCTGTCATATGGATTCTAGCGAGAAACCCCAAAATACCACTGTTTTTGGACCATATTGTGAATGGGTCAAATCAGGACCAAATAGGATTTAGTTAATACCCTTCAAGAAGTTATATTTTTAACCTTTTTCTGCCTATAGTCTGAGTGTCTATCATTGCTATACAATAATTGTTCTACAATTAATGTGGCAGACAATGCTGACGTAATATATTGAAGTGATACATATATGTTCTATATCACCATGATACACCCTTTCCAGGGGTCTCAACTCTATGAATGAAAGGTATGGCCCCTATAAAATGTACTTTTATTGTATTAAGTACATGTATGTGAAAGGTTAGTCATGCTTCAAGCTCTAGTGAATCTACCTCCAACACACATAACCTCAACAAAGAGATGAAATTGAATAGAAGGGGGAGTGTCCAAATTTGATGTATGGCAATGAAACAACAGAATATGCAATACAGTAGCCATGAAACAAAAATTCATTGAAATAAAAGTAAAATAACCCAAGAAAGAAAAGAAAACTGAAATCAAGCCATGAAAGAAGAGCAAATGGGTGAATAGTCTACCATCTAAAGATACAACTGCTAATTCATGGGCAGATTAAATTGTAGAGAGCATCATAGATGACAAACTCGACACTGACCATGACAGACATATCACCATTGATGGTACTGTGTGAGAAACAAATCCACACACTGGTAAAGAAATTTGAAAATTGTATGACTGCTTGGATACACCCATTATGCATCAATTCCCCTGAAGGCCAAACACCCCTCCCCTTTTTACAATTTTGTTCAGCCAATAAGTATGAATTTCCCAAATTTAAAGAGTTCTTAATATTGTGATTAACCTCTTAAATTGAATATTATATAACAAGGCAGTACCTCAAACCCTTAAACATATGTTTTCTTAACAACTTGCATCCAAGCTTCTATTAATTGAGGGCTATTTTCGAATTATGAATGGGATTTATTGGCTATTCAGGTACTACATAATACCGATTATCCAATTTACTTCGTCTCGATGTGGTCCTATTGGCCAGTTTTACACAACTTTCGTTTGAACAACGGACTGATTCACAGACTTTCACACACATATTCAAGTTACAATTTTCATTTGTATTGCAATTACCAGTTTACTTTAGACACCTAGTGACCGTGAATATGAAACATGAAACGATAAATAAACAGTGATTTCACATAGTAAATAGGGCAGGGACCTAATTCAGATTGAATCACATCTATGGCAAGCTACTGGTCTACAAGGCACATAGGAAATGGGCCTTTTGAAAAAATGAGCCAAACCTCAATAAAGACGTAAGAACTCACCGTTGTGAATTGCACTGGTCCCTCTGTGACATACGTCCTGTTGATATCCAAGGCATGTCCCCCGAAACCCCTTGGGCTCACTGTCTCAGGTAGGGATGTGTTTGAAGAATTCAGACTGCTGAAAAATAGAAAGAATCATGGTTTAATCATCGTTGCTTTCCACTGGGTCTAGAGGTAGGAACAATTGAAACCTTGTGAATCAAGATGGGTTTAATAAAATCTAAGAGGCTAATCCCAAATGGAATGCTGAGAAGATTCATGTACCGCATCATGATAAACCATAAACCAGGCAGAAACCATCTCTACAGGTGTGTCAATTGTATGTGTTATACAGTCAGTGGTAGTCTCCTAACACAGTTCTGATATTATATATAGTAAATTACACATTATACATGTACATATATTATGTAGTTGTTGCAGACAGACATTTCTATCCATGTAACGACTTGTCATTAGTTGCCATGCCGCATGCCTACCTTTCCAAATCAAACCATTTATTCTTAGGCATCATTAACTGCTTTCTCTCTTTTACCATGAGCACATCGAAAGATCTGTTTCTCCGCATTTTTATTAGGATTTTGATAATCTAGTTTATAATGTCCATCTCTTAAATTCAATTTATTGTTGCAATCAATCAAAATGAATTGCTAAATTTTAACTTTGCGTTTATATTGTCTATGATGTCATACTATACATCTATAGTGTAAAGAAGGTAAATTCATATTAAGGGGACTCCTTTCAGTACAAGTAGGTACACTCTAAACATTAAAGACTTTAATACAATCTAATCAGAAAAATATCAACGATTAAAGTGGACGACATCTTGGTTTAGTTGTCTGTCAATTGAACAGTATCCAAAAAATAATATAAATAGTTCATCTTTTGAATTCCTTTATTTATCCAAACAATGCGTTATATAATTTCTTATTATTTCCATGCCCAATGTTTAAATATTTGACAAGCCTTAATGGGGTGCTGCCAAGTTTTAACTTAAAATGTTTTTAAAGTGATTAATCCGAACTTCAAGTCAGTCATCTGATTCGACATCAAGGATCCGCATATACAGATGTATGTGTGTCACTTTCATGAACATGATTTAATTTCAAGTTTAATCCTTTGCATTATTGATGATCTGTGTTAATCCAGAGATAATCCATCGCTTAATCCTTTTATATTGTCACTTTGTTTTAAGCCAATAATAAATCATAACATGCTCACTAAGTGCTAAATAAGTACCATTAACAGTGTATGAATACAGACGACTGTACTGGATATGATTGAAATGTTGTTTAGTAGATAACTAATATCATTAAATATCACTGTGCACCTTTTAATTATATGGCCCACTCCTTATGTTCCTTTTGACCTTTGTTTTTATTTAATTACAAACACTTAACATAATGACTACTGCAAGGGCTGTCAAAATGTTAATGAAGTAATTGACAATCTTGATTGGTATTGGCTCAGATCAGTACAGTATTTTATCAGTTATAGCACGAGTAGCCTTATTTTAGAAGCTGTTGAAGTCAGCCATAAATATTCCAGTCACTCTTTAGTGATATTTTATTTTGTTTATTTATTGTACATGAGCTCATATAGAATCAGATCATCAGTTCACCATACAAATAAAGTAAAATGCATTGAATTTATACGTGCAATAAAATAAAGCACTTGGGAAGATAATGACATATTAGGGTGACCATTCATACTTGAAGGGGGAGGAGGGGAAGAGGGGGGGGTAATTACTATAATTCCATCATAACTGTGACATTCACAGGATATCATATAAAAAAATAAAATGATTTACCAAAACATTTTGACTATAAATCTAATAAAAAAGTAATTTCTTTCAAGTGTGGTCACATAAGAGAGCTGTTCACTTACACAAGTTTCACTGTACTACATGTTCATGTACTTTTACTGAAGTCATAACGATACATAGGAACAATAATCAAAATATCACACTCTATACATATATACATGAACATAAAATTCAGATAACACTGTAACAAACTGCGCCATAAACTTTGAGTCAGTCAGATTAGACAACATTTGAAGAATTCTTATCTCTAAGAATCACCCAAATCAATTTACCTTCCTAAAATAATTTGTTCCCGAACTTGAAACCATTGACATTTTTGTTCCTTGTTCCGGCTTTTATCAGTTGGTAGTACATGTAAGGTGAAATACCAGTGGTTTTGGGTGTGAGGGTATTAGGCTCAAATTAAATAATACTTTTACAAAAATCCTAAGTACTGTCTTATCTCAAGTTTATTGAATATTAGGGAGTACATTTGACTGCCCATCCAATTTTTTACTTATTAGACTATTATTGAGTATTTTCTTCAAATATCTGATAAATAATTTAAAATATTATTTTTGTTGATTTGTTTATTACTTGTTTACTTGTGTGATGATTTCATGCATGTTGATTGAATTCCTTCCACTTTGTTTCTCTATTTGCATGGTAAGTATATGAAGGACTATGACATTTTTTCAACTATCAGTCAATGCCAAAGAGTCAAGTCCAAGTTATTAAATGATATCACTGTCATTGTCCAAGATAACAGCAGATAACAATTTCAAAACATCAATACGATTGAAATACAATTTGAAATACGATTGTCTTAAATTTGTTATGTATGCACGGCAGATTCACCAGGGTATGGTCTGAATATGTCAAGTTGTATGTTGTTGTTTGAATTGCTCTTGCAACACTATTGCAGCTGAACTACGTAACTTCCCATTGAATGATTCAATTGTATCTATAAGTGCATGTGTACATGTTGAAGTGATGCAAGAACTTCATTGTTTAAAATGAAAATAAAATGACAATAGTATATCGAATTTAGAGAATGCAGAAATCGAGAAGCAAACAAATGATTTCTAAAACCTCAGTGATCTTTTTGATAAAAGGAGTTTTGGACTTTCTTTCAAATAGCCAAAATACATTTTTACAACTGTGAAAAAATCTACAATAAGTATGCACTCAGTATGATGTTGAGAACATTGTTTGGTACTGACCTAGCAAAGTTAGCACTACTGTGTTTTTTGCCACTCAGTGTCTTCAGCAGCACAGCACTGGGGGCCGACTTTCTCCTACTCATGGATCTACTCTTCTGGAAAGGAGGAAGAAAAGTTGAATATTTATTCAAGATTTTAAATCTGTTAATTGTTATATTATTCTCATACCTAGATTTTGCTGATGAAATAAATGTAAACTTAAGAAAATAACTTATATCTGGCAGAATTTGTAGACAAGAATTTAAGTTCAAAGTTCAAAACTTTAGAATAGCATTATGATTTGATTTTGGTCCAACTACCTTATCAAGAAGTTAAATCTTTCATGTGTTTCATTAAAAACGTGACCACACGTGTCCCTAAAACACATGTTGACTGATGTTATAATGGAAAGGGCAGTGAGTATAATCTGGGGCAATGGCCAGAGTTTTAACTTTAAATTCTCGAATCAACTTCCAGCAATCATGGTAAAGGAGCCAGCTTATGGCTGAGCTTATACTTTACATTTTAAAATGATCTCTGATCATAACAAAGCTAGATATTAAGCTGAGACAGAAGTAATGAATGATATATTATTGATTGAACTCAGTGGCATATATTTATATGTAAATAACTTTTATTGACATATTGTATGAACCATGTGCCACTTTTAAAAAAGTGAGTCCTAACAAAATGAGCTAAAAAACCAAAAATAATCATCATTAATACATACTGAGGGTGGAGCATGTGAGGCAATAGCCTCCCTGGCTGACTGAAGGCCAAGGTTGTCATTGGGGAAACGATCCTGGACATTCTCAACTTTGAACTCATTCTCTGCAAAGTTCACCTCATCTCCTCTCTCCTTCACCATCTGCAATCCACAAGTGACATTGTTAGAGGGATATTACCCTTTATAAGACATTGTTAGAGGGATATTACCCTTTGTAAGACATCGTTAGAGGGATATTACTCTCAACAAGAGCTAGAGTTTATCTAAACCGATATACTGAATGTGAGATCATTCTTTTATAAATTCTTCTTCAATGTACTTTATCAAACCCTACAAAATGGGTCACATATTCATGTCTGCTCTAATCTCTATGATTTATTTCTAATAATACTTGATCTTGAATCAAAACAAAACTAAATAAAAATTCTCCAAAACTACATGTACATGATTGAACAAGTCTTTCAGTCAAATGCTTATCAGCCAAAGAATTATGACGCTAGAGGAAGACTTCCTGACTGTTCAGAATTGAAACTTTTCTTAAAAGTTAAATAACTATTTTTAACAGTCCTACATGTGGCATGTATTTTAAAATAAGAGGTTAAGTTGACTTAATGTAAGAATAGTAATTGTAAATTTGATAATTGTTTAATAAATGGCAGATTGACACCTAAGGTTGTTTACTTAAGCAAAAAACACCCATTAATTTCATGTTAAAGTTTCCTGATGAAACTATGGGAGTTCCCAAATTTTTATTTGGCACACTTCCCCAAAATGTTTAACAAAATTCCCTTCCTTGATTTTACCTTGTTACAGTTAGCATAAAAACATGTGACTTTATTTTAGTGTTGTTTCTGTTAAATATACATGTACATGTATACAGAATGTAAGCATCTGGTAAGTTCTTGCGTCTGGTAAGAAATTGTATTTCTCTTCAGTTGAAATATGGATTTTGTTGCATAAGTTTTACTGTTGCAACTGCACTTGTTGCATATTGGTAGTATATTTATCGTTGAAATTGCACTTTGTAGTATATATATGGTTGAAATTGCATTTTGTAGTATATTTATCGTTCAAATCGTACTTTGTAGTATATATATATATGGTTGAAATCACACTTTATAGTATATTTATAGTTGAAATCGCACTATGTTACATATTGAAATTGCACTTACATTTTGTACTTTGGTAGCAGCTCTGCTTAGTTCCTCATAATCGGGGTGATTGTGATCAGTCTCATCTAAGAGATCACTCAGATAGTGGTCATATTCTGGGATTCTTTGTACCTTGAAATACATAGAAAGAAACATAAGAACAAGGCTTTCTAAGGGGTAATGGTCATACTCTGGGATCCTTTGTACCTTGAAATACATAGAAAGAAACATAAGAACAAGGCTTTCTAAGGGGTAATGGTCATACTCTGGGGTCCTTTGTACCTTGAAATACATAGAAAGAAACATAAGAACAAGGCTTTCTAAGGGGTAATGGTCATACTCTGGGATCCTTTGCACCTTGAAATACATAGAAAGAAATATATAAGAACAAGGCTTTCTAATGGGTAATGGTCATACTCTGGGATCCTTTGTACCTTGAAATACATAGAAAGAAACATAAGCACAAGGCTTTCTAAGGGGTAATGGTCATACTCTGGGATCCTTTGTACCTTGAAAAACATAGAAAGAAAGGCTTTCTAAGGGGTAATGGTCATACTCTGGGATCCTTTGTACCTTGAAATACATAGAAAGAAACATAAGCACAAGGCTTTCTAAGGGGTAATGGTCATACTCTGGGATCCTTTGTACCTTGAAAAACATAGAAAGAAAGGCTTTCTAAGGGGTAATGGTCATACTCTGGGATCCTTTGTACCTTGAAATACATAGAAAGAAACATAAGAACAAGGCTTTCTAAGGGGTAATGGTCATACAGTTTGCATACTTTTATACCCCAGATCTTGGGCATTGGGCAATGCGCATTTCAACTCATTTTTCTAAACAAATACAATAGCTCAATCAATATGAAACTTCCAGACCAAACTGTGGAGGTTAATACTGTTTTTTATAAATGCGTCACTCGGAAGTTTTTAGTCATTCAAACTCATTTATATTCATCTCCAATGTTATCTTAATATATCATCCCTATCGGTAAGTTTAAACATGATGTTAAAGAGGCAAAATAAAACACTTGGAAGATTAAAATAAAATATAGTAAATGTCACCTCAGTTTGTATATTAATTGATCAACTTAATATCAACAATAACGTGAAAAGAATGATATATGAAAACCAAAAGAGCTATATAAAGACTCAATATAGAAATTGTAAGGCTCTTTCTCAATTTTGATTCACTTTTATTATCGCATTTCTTTCAAAATAACCCATGAGCATCTATCACTGGTATACGCTATTGTAAATTACACATTTTAAAAAGATTAAATGTGTGTTTCGAGAAAGTAAAAAAGTTGCGATGAAAAGTTTTTTGTGTTACGATCAAAGTTTTAAACTTTTATCATTGTTTATGAATTGACCTTCAAAATGTTGAATTAAAGTTCTGTCATTTTTATGGGCAGCTATTCAGTTTTTAATTTATGAGAGATTAGTTAAAAAAAACTTGCCTTTAAAACATTTTATGAATGGAAAATTTTACTTGCTTTTGTAGAATTTCACAATCTTATCTTCCTAGTAAATCTTGATAGATCTTACTGAAAATCAAGAAATATTTTCGTTTTTCTCAAACATTTTTTCAATTTCTGGAAAAGAATATTGATACTAGTAACCAAAATGACACTTTCAATACCTTAGGTGTTAGCTTAGGTGATGATTTTGGTGTTGATCTAGGTGTTGATCTAGGCGTTGATTTAGGTGATGATTTTGGTGATGGTGTAACATATATCCATTTTTTGATGGGAGTATTTCCATCTTTGATTACTTTTAGAGCATACATGTAGCTTTGAACTTATGACTACTACTGTTATATTTACTGGCACATATTATTTTGATATAGGACTTTCAATTCTGGTGTTAACTGTCCTCTTTCTATTGTAATCAATTCTCCCAGGTGGTGAAATACACTTCATCTATATACACTATATACAGTACTTTTTTAAGTATGTATAATACGTCCCCTGATGGTTATCCTTATACCAAAACCTATAGTAAACAAGTCCAAATCCAATGTGAATAATCTGGGACTTTTAATCCTAGTTAATACAGTCCTTGTTGAATGTACTTCCCCTATTACAGTTACCGTCTCTAGTATAAAATAGCACCACCTCCTACAATACTCAATATGAATCTAAACTCTAAAAAGAAACTTCAAGTTGATGTATACAAAAAATGACAAATACAGAGAATCACTTGACATCACATATGAAAAGACTCAACACCTTACCATTCATACACATCCTTCGTTTTAAGACCTGAGATTTTTAAAGATAAAATTAAGCGCCTTACCAATGATTTCAGGCTAAGTCAAAATGCCTAGGTGTAAAGCTTTGTCAAATACACCTTTTTAATGCTGAAAGCGTCATTGTGAGACTAACATTCATCTAAGCTTTAATCATCCAATGAGGTCACTACGAAAAATTCACGACAAGTGATAATTCAAAATTTGCTGAAGAGAGACATCAAAATCGTCAATACTATTTTTCAACTGTATATAATGTGTCCCTCCTTAAGACAGCTGATTTTCGTGATGAGAGTCACGTTAGGTCCATTCTTGTGGTCATCCCCAGTCTGAGACACCTTGCATCCTGGTAGAGCATATGGCTGCCAAATCATATTATTTCAACACCAATTAATGCAAATATGCTTGTTTTACAAGCTCCTCTTTAAAACATGGTTTTAGTTTTTTGTCCATTTTTTGTGATTTTGTTGGTTGTAACCATGGTTAGTAGTAGAGTATGTCCACCTGACTGGGATTTTGAATCCTGCTCAATTTAACATTGATTCCAATGGCATTCCAATGGCTTCCACGTGACTTATTGCCTGCTCTCTCTGCCTGCTCCCTCTCACGTGACTTTTCATTCCCCTCTCACGTGACTTATCATCCGACGGTAGAGGGGACGGGGGAGTTGACGTAAACTGTCCCCACCCTGTCCCCTTTCTAATGTAAGAACCATACCTATCACTATAAAACTAGTGAAAATTACATTTCTGATTTAGATGCACCATGTCTTTATCGAGGTCACAGGAAAAACTTTTGGAAAGAGAATAATTTTAGAGTATTTTTTCAGTCGTTATGGTTGAGTGAATGTTGCTTATTTTTGAGTTTGAGGCATTTAATCAACAAATGGATACTTGATTCTTACTCCTGAGACATTTTAGAGTATTTTTCCACTCTTCACGCTTGAGTGATTTTGGGTGATATCTGGAGTTTGAGACATTTTTTCACCAAATGGTCACTTGGTTCTTACTCCAAAGACATTTTAGAGTATTTTTTCAGTTGTTACAGTTGAGCGATTTTTGCCTTATTTATGAGTTTAAGGTATTTTATCACCAAATGACCACTTGATTCTTACTCCTGAGACATTTTAGAGTATTTTTCTAGTCTTCACGCCTGAGTGATTTTGGGTGATATCTGGAGTTTGAGACATTTTTTCACCAAATGGTCACTTGGTTCTTACTCCAAAGACATTTTAGAGTATTTTTTCAGTTGTTACGGTTGAGTGATTTTTGCACTATTTATGAGTTTAAGGTATTCTATCACCAAATGACCACTTGATTCTTACTCCTGAGACATTTTAGAGTATTTTTCTAGTCTTCACGCCTGAGTGATTTTGGGTGATATCTTGAGTTTGAGACATTTTTTCACCAAATGGTCACTTGATTCTTACTCCAAAGACATTTTAGAGTATTTTTTCAGTTGTTACAGTTGAGTGATTTTTGCTCTATTTATGAGTTTAAGGTATTTTATCACCAAATGACCACTTGATTCTTACTCCTGAGACATTTTAGAGTATTTTTCTAGTCTTCACGCCTGAGTGATTTTGGGTGATATCTGGAGTTTGAGACATTTTTTCACCAAATGGTCACTAGATTCTTACCCCAAAGTCTTTTTAGAGTATTTTTTCAGTCGTTACGGTTGAGTGATTTTTTGAACTATTTATGAGTTTGAGGGAATCACCGAATGGACACTTGATACTTACTACCGAGTCATATTAGAGTATTTTTCAAGTCTTCACGCCTGAGTGATTTTGGATGATATCTGGAGTTTGAGACATTTTTTCACCAAATGGTCACTAGATTCTTACCCCAAAGTCATTTTAGAGTATTTTTTCAGTCGTTACGGTTGAGTGATTTTTTGAACTATTTATGAGTTTGAGGGAATCACCGAATGGGCACTTGAGTCATATTAGAGTATTTTTCAAGTCTTCACGCTGTAGTAATTTTTGACAAGATCGCCTGCTCTCACAATTTAACATCGATTCCACACTTGGTTCTTACTCCTGAGTCATTTTAGAGTATTTTTTCAGTCATCATGGTTGAGTGATTTCTGTAACGGTTGACTGATTCCCACTTATTTTGGGAGTTTTAGGCATTTTTCACCAAATAACACTTTCTAGGTCTCACAAGATCAAATGCTAACATAAACACTTTTACAGCAGGACAATTTCACCCTAACATACTAGTAGTGGATATGTAAATGAACTGATATGTTTATAACTTGCAGAACCATGTTTACTTATAAAAACAGATAACAAATTGATAACATAGTGTGATGTTGTATAAGCTACATATTCATCTGTCACTTTACATCATAGGTCAAAGTTTGTTGACATAGTTTTATAACTTGCAGAACAATGTTTACTTAATAACAGATAATAAATTGTTAACAAAGTGTGATGTTGCATAAGCTGAAGAACCATCATATCACTACATCACAGGTCAAAGTTTCTTGTCATACAAATATTAATCACATCTGGATAAACAATGAATGTGTGTCAGTGATAATTTATAAGTTTTTGATAAAACCAGAAGTGAGTTAATAGCAGAGTCGTCAACATATAGCTTTAACAATGCCAAATGATATGTTTATATTTATGGAAAGTACAGATTCTCTGGATTATTTCCCATTCAATACTAATAGAGACTTTACAGTTAAACTACCAAACTACCTGAATCTAGATGGTGATTGGAAGCTTGGACTTTACGACATTAAGCTACCCAGACTCGAGATTTCTCCAGATATCGAATACATTGACATATTTTGTGACCTGATTGATACAAGCATTATCAGTGGAGAGAAACAACAGATATTAAGAAGAATAAGTCCAGACGAAGGCTGGAGAA